GAGCCTTCTTTAACTCACAGGTTGTAATGGGCTGAACTTTCTGCATCAGCCAAGAAAGAAAAACTGCTGCACTGGGCTGTGATGGAGCTCGAGTGTAAGCATTTCCCAAATCTCAGGGGTTACCAAGTGCTGTCACAGTTAATGCCCTCAGGGTTTGTTAATGGGTTCCAGCTTAAAACAGTGGCAGCTCCTTAATGGAAAATCCCACGTGATAAGGCACACATCCTCTATTTTGCTTTAAATGGGGACTGTGAGGTGGCATGCAGCCGGTGGGCGCGAGGGCTGCGCGGTCTCCTCTGCTCTGTTCCAGGGATATCAGCCCCGTGTTGTTTCTGGACATTGCTCATGCTGGCAACGTTTCAGGGAACTTCAGAAAAAGCAAATAAGGTGTGAAGTTACCGCCAGTCTGTAAAAGCAAGGACAAAACTTGCTTACGCAGCCTGCAGAAGGACAGAGCGTTCCTGCGTCTGAGGCTGGCGGTGCTTCTCCTGTGTCCTGCAGGCATCGATCTGCAGTGCACATCCCTGCAGGGAGCTCAGGAATCTGGTGGCACGCTCTGCTCCCAAGGAGTAAAGGGCAAGGGGGAGCTTTTATTTCCTTATGGTTCATTTTTCTTCCTCTAATTCCTGCTTTTGGTGGATGCTGTCTGCCAGGAGATTGGCACAGACTGTGCTTCTTCAGTAGTTCTGATTCTGGTGGTGAGTCCTTTGGTTGTTATCCTCGTTGCAGAGTGACTCCGTGTGTATTCCATAAACCAAGCCAGGCTTCTTTTACTGAAATATACTGAAAGTCAGTGTGTGGGTCTCTTGTCCTCCTTTGTGTTAGTTTACGTTGCTAATTTGTGTTGCAAATGCCCTTCCAACCTCTGTTCTAAGGTTATCCAAACTGTTTAAGGAAACGCTGATACCTATTTTCAAAACTTGCAAAGTCACTGACGTGGCTTCTCAGTAGGACAGGTACAGCAAATTTGGTCCCATAGGAAAAGCAGCACGAAGAGCATGGACCCCTGTGCCCAAAGACGTGTCTCAGTCCTTTCCCTGCAAAGAACAGGGAATGCAGAGACTAGATTCTCACTTTATCCCTCTTGCATGTTAGCTTCTGCCCACTAGTAACTCATGACTTCGGTGGCTGCTTTCCCTTTGCGTAAATTCTGCACTAACTTTTCCACAGCCTTCATTTTTAGGCATTCCCGAGAAGCACATCAGGAGAAATTTATCCTTGGGGTAAAGCTCATTGTGAGCGTGCTTCTCAAGAGGAGATTGGTGATCAGCATGTAAGAAGATCCCATAATGCTGCGCAGGACGTGTGCGGTCTTAAAAATCTGCCCTACCAAAATGAGCTTTTAATTTAATTTCCAAGTGTTCTGTGATTTCTCTTTTGAGAGTCAGCAGTGCTTACATCAGAAGGGAATGTCACTGCAGACGTGCTCTACTTGGGGCTGTGGGAATGGTCTGCTCCCTAGTGAAACACAGCGTATGTCACGGGGAAGGTTGGCACACCACTTGTGTATCCTGCGTCATCAGAGGTATGGATCTATTGATGCAAAACTAAATGAATTATATGGACTGATTTAGAAAATGAATGTTAATTGAGAATTCCTGTTCAGACACGCACGTCCCGCTAACGTGGTGGGTTTTGCTGTCTTTGCATTGTTGGCTATCAGACACCTCAGTCTGGATGTCTGGAAAATGTGATGCAGGGAGGTGCAGCTCAGTAATGCACCAAGTAGCAGGAAAATGAGGTGGAAATTTGTGTGTGTGAAACTCAGAGGGGTCGAAATCACTGCAAAGCAACGATGGATGTGGGGGAAAAGGACTGAGCTTTGGAAGTTTGGGTAGGTTATGATGATGAGAGTGCGCAGCTGGTTGGTTCACTGCTCATCCTAATGGACATGGGAAGCTCAACATTTCTGCTAGGGGATAGAGAGCAGCAGGAAAACTGATATGTTTTTAGGAGGATATTACGGCATTCAGTCTCTCTGTCAGAAGTTTGGACTAGAAAGTGGTAGAGAAGGATGCATGCCTTGGGTGCTGTACAGAGCATATCTGCCTCATGAAGGACAGCTGTAGACAGAAACAATCTTTACAAAGTAATTCAGGGATTTTTACAGCGTGTTTCTACATGCTGAGTGGCTCTTCTCCATCCCATGCTGACAAATGCTTGCTGTGTTAGCCATTTAGCAGAGTGGTACATATGGCTAAATGAATAATTTAGATGGAAGTCACAGTTCATACACCTAGCAATGGCACAAAGTCTGAACCTCCAGATGAGAGAGAAATTGGTTGTTTTAATGCTAAGACCACAAATACTCACTTTCCTGTGATGCACAGAACGCTTTGTGTCATTGGTTGTGTAGAAAGCTGTCGTGGAACCAAAGACAGCCATGGTTGTTGAACATGGTGCTCCTCCTGGTGACTTATCTGTCCTCTTGCCTTCAGCCAACAGCTGCCAGGTCTGGGGGCGAAGTCAGTATTTTTGGGTGGGGAAAGGAAGCACCAACACTTCTTCCTAAGAGTTTCAGTAGCAGTGAATGTAATACTGTGAACGTCTCCTCCTGAAAACACAACCAATGAGTCTTTGCTGGGTGCTGCCTGCTGAACAGGAAGGAATATGCAATTTTCTCTTAATTTTTTAGTGTCTGGTTGTGGTGTGTAGGCGTGATTCCGTGCTGTGTGAGGTAAGTACTGCATTTCTAGCCACAGCATGCATCTCTAGACTGGCTGGGCAAGTGTGTTGGCTCTTGGATGGAAACCTCAGCAGTGTCTGGGAGGAATCGCATCGCTGCTCTGCTCCTGTCATGCAGTCAGTCTGAGGAAGTTCATAATTCTAAATAAGATCAAGATGTCTCGATTTACCTTTGTAAAATATATTTATATTTCTTTTGGAGGTATATCTGGGTAAGGAAAGAGCAGAGCTGCTCCATGGAGCACCAGCACACCAAACACCAAACTGCTGCGCTCAGTCAGTGTGCTGCATGCTGTTCCTTAATTCTGTTTACGATAAATAAAATAATTGATTGAAATGCAGTGCACATTCTGAGTGGTTAATTAGGAGATGAACAATTTTGGAACAGATTATTGGGTATATAAGGTTTTTCTTTTTTTTTCTTCTTCTTTTTTTTGCACTGTTTCTGAAAGATTCTAGTGTGGACATAGGTGAATGTTGCTGTGATGGACTTATTTCCTTAACACCCAATCTTCCGAGATACTGACGCATTTGGAACAAGCGTCTTAAGTTTCTCCCATATAAAAACCACAGCTGAACAGGGGAATGCTTTGCAGCAGTAGCTCAGGCAATTCCAAAATGCTTTCAGCAACATCATTACCACATCCAGTGAGTCCACCCCGCGTCCGCTGCTGCAAAAACATCCGCTCCTCGTAGTGCTGCTTAGTGAGTTCTGAAGGGAAGAAAATTGCTTTGGGTAATAAAAATGACACACAAAAGACAGAAGCTGTGATTTATTTTGGGAGATTGAGTAGAGTGGCAAGCAGCACTTTAAAGGTCACTTGTCTCAAATAAACCTTATATCTCTCTCAGATTTAAAGAGATGCTGCAGTGTTTCCTTACACCTAGCTTGCATTAAATGTCTTTCCCAATAACATATGGCGAAGTCCAGCTGGAGCAGCGTGGGTGCCCATGTGCTTTATAGGTGATGGAAATTAATGTGAGTGCTGGCTGGGGGAGTGGAGATCAGTTCTAAGTGATTAATGACTTGATTAGAAGTACTCCTCTGGGGAGGAGTGGTGGTGGTTTGAGTTAGTCTTCAGTGTGCATTCGTGAGAAGTACATACAAATGGCACACCTGACTTTCCTTTGTTTTGAGAGCTGCGTTTTGTTCCTGCAATACTTCTCAGCCTCAGCACATAAAACTGCCTTTGTCACACACATCTCACATGTTGCACTGCCAGTTACAGCAGGTGGGCTGGCGTGGCACTTTGGCAGCAAAGCTGTTTGGGGGAGAGCTGCAGGGAAACGCATGGAGTCGGTTCTGCTCCTGATCCCACTCCTTCCTCTCCTGAAGGTCTCAGAGCCATTTCCAAAGGCTGCAGGGCTTTGTGAGCCTGACAAGCAGAGCTGGAATTCAGTTTCCACACTTCACCCTGCACTGAGCAGCCTCTATCCACACCACGGGAACCAGCAGAGCCTCAGGGGCTTAACCAGTGCCTTAACTCAGAAGGCTTTAATGGAAATAGTGGAGTATATTCTGCCTTGCATCCATTAGTGGTGTCTGCTGTTTTTCTGTGTATGGCACAAAAACGTGTGCTGTAAGAAGCATTCATTTGGATTTAAAACAATGCCAACCAGTGCCCCATCCATGCTGAAGTTGAATCCCACCTCCCTGGTGTCAGCTCTCTCCATATACAGATAGGTTCCTTTGCCCCTGGATTGGGTTCTGCCAGCTGAGGGCTTCCACCTTTTTTCTGCTCCCCTAAGCGGAGTTTATTTTCAGCCTGTACAACTTTTTGGCTGCAAAAAATAGTCTTCAAAGTGTTAGTGGTCCCATGTGTTTGGATCGAGTTTGCTGCTTGGTATCTACGGCTGGGAGGATGAGTTTGGTTTGCTTTGGTTTTAGTGGCAATTTGTGAAACTTAACAATCTTTTGCATTTCAGACCTTTGTAAGAAATTTCCCTATTTTTAAGTTACGTTCTTCATCCTGGGTTGCAGGATGAGGTGATGTTTAGGACTGTGGCTGGCATTATTCCTTTGCCATCTCGTTGGCTCTTCGTTCTGCTGCTGTGTGTCAGGGAGCTGCAAAGGGCCAGACCTTTGTTCTGCAGGTGATGCATCATTAAACATCAGTCCCACAAGATCACAAGTGTGACTGGGCAGGCTTCATCTAAATTCACATTTTCTCAAAATACGTGTCAGGTTTCAGGTGAATATTCAGATATTTAACAAAAATTTCATTAAAAACTTTGCATGCAAACCAGATTTATATGACTTTTTTTTTTTTTCTTTTCTTTTTCCTGCCTTTTCCCCAAATCCCTTTTGTTTACAGCTTCCAGCTGATCTTACCAAGATGCATCTTACAGACAATCCTCACCCTCAGGTGACTCACGTCCCTTCAAGCCAGTCTGGGTGCAGCATTGCCAGCGATTCTGGGAGCAGCAGCCTGTCTGATATCTATCAGGTAGAATTGCATTTGTTTCTTAGTTCTGTTTCCCCACCCCCCAGCTGGAAATTGCATTTTGCCTTTCCTAATTGTTCTGGCAGCGTTTCGTGCTGCTGTAACGCCGGCTGGTTATCAGAAAGCATGAGGTCAGACGTTCACCACACACGGTTGTTTGTTGTATTTGCTGTTGGCTGCCAGAATTTGGGCGGAAGTCCATCAGGAGCTGTTGCACAGACCTGGTGGGAACATTTCTGCAGTGACATCTGCATGCTCTTCTGATGGCACTTCCTTTCTGGTTTTTCCTTGGCACACAATCTGTTAGCAGTGAGGTAGGTGACAGTGACCAGATGAGGGGGGTGGTGGCAGTATGTGTGCAGGTGAGCACTTATGTTAGTGCTTGGCTTCACTGCAGTTTGATTCAGTACTTGCTAAACATGGCTTATATTGGTAAAGAATAAAATATATTAAAAATGAGTGGAGTTGCAGTACAGAGCGCAACAAAATAAATGCAGTGAGTTCTTATCCCATGTGGTATCCTGCAAAAGGAGCTTGGTTCTGGTTTATTTCTTGCTTTATCATATGAAGGGAAGACTCAGAGTTTGGTTTTGATGTGTTTCTTTTCCCCCAGTCTTGTTAACATTAAGAACACCTTGTTCCTGTTCCATTTTCTCTGGAAAAAGAGGAATTGCTTATAGATTGCGTGACACCAAAGCAGTGGCAGTTTATCACTGCCTCCCCTTCCTAATGCTTGTGCAAACCCAGCGCTGCTTTCCACCTCAACAGCTCCCTCCTTGCTTTTCACCTCTCTGTGTACCAGCACGTGTGCTGTTGCTTTTAAAAGACATATGTGGTGATTTATGTGCTGAATTATGGATCAGATTTCATGAAACCCTTCTGCCTGTCGGGTTCCTTCCTTGGTTATTTGCATTTGTTGCTCTCTGCAGATGTCCTGTTCTGCAAACAGAAGCATGTAATAAACACGCTCTCTGCACCCACTGACTGTGCAAATTCCAGTGTTTCTTGTTGGGAATAGAAGTTGAGGAACATCGAGAGATAACTTATTAAGTGCGTTATCTGCAAACGAAGCAGAGCTGCTGCCTCGTGCCAAATTGCAGAGCTGGGTTCATGGGTGCACTTCTGATGGAGGAGTGCAGAAATGGCACAGCTTTTTCACTTCTGAGTTCAGCTACATTACCAACTAAACAGGAACTGCTGAGTGTTCTGTAGGTGTAGCTGGAATGTAGATACCTGTTCCCCTCTCTTGGGGACTGTCTGGGTACAGTATACTAAAGAGAGACTGGTAGTATGTCTTATTTACAGCAAAGTATTGCAAGTTAACTTTAAAGATAAGGCATTCCAAGTATGTGTTCGTCCCATTCAATCTATTATTTTACTTCTTTCCATTTGCTCTCTACCAACCAGCTCAGAATTACTTTGATTGTCAATAACTCTTTCCAAATGCACCCTGCATTCCTAGCAGCAGCGTGGAAAGATTTTGTTCTTCACATTATTTTTTGGGTTTCTTTTTTTTTCTTTCCCTTTTCTCCCTTTGGAATTAATTCTCCCAGCTCAAAAAATAATTAGCTGCAGTCACCAGAACGAGCGTGGCTGTGGTACCTGGGCAGCTCACACACTGAGGCTGATGGCACTTCTGCTGGCCTGTCTACCTGAGCCTTTTGGAAGGCTTATACTAAGTGAAAGGCACTTCAGATGTATTATTGATGAAGCAGATATTGTTCCAGTAAGGAGGGTGCACTCTTATCACCTGTGGTTAAATGCATTTGAAATGTTGCATTCCTGCTCTTAAGAAAATGCCAGAAGAGCGTGATGGTTAAACAAAGAAAAATTACATAAATAAAATAAATGAAGGAAAAGCATTTTAATCTGCACTGCAAAGGTGGTGAAATACATTTATGCCCCTGAAGGAGTTACAAATTTACTCATATTAAAATAGGCTTTTCATGAAGCATTTGGAAAACATTGTCTTTGCTTTTGCTGTCAGTTTCATCTCTGCTGTGTGCCAAACTCTCCAGGACTATCATTAATGTCAAAGGAAGAGTATTTCTAAATAATTTTTATTAATGTAGCCTTGAAATGACCTTTTGAATGAATGATATCATAAGGTTAATTTGTAGTGCGTAGCGCAACTCTAATTCCAGAGCAGGAAACGGATTAGAATGATAGAAACAAAGGGTGAGACATTTTTTTATTAAGATTTGGAAAGGGTTTTGGTTCATCTGTGTGCACTTTATTCATCGACAGCGTTGAAATGAGTTTTCACTTCTTCCAGCTGCTTCTCAGTGCAGGATGTTAGGCAGGAAATGAGCACAGGAGCTGAAGGTGAGCTCAGCAGAAACGAGCCCTGCCTGCAGCACGGCTGCAAACACATTGCATTGAAGCCAAAGCTGCTGAGGAGAATAAATTTATGATGATGTTTTCTCCCTTCACACCTTCATTTATACGTATGTGAAAGCTTTTCCTACTTTTTTTTTGTTTAATATATTTAATTTATGTGTTTGTTTTTCTTCAGCCTCTTTCTGACAGTATGCTTCCCTTCAGAGCTCGGGTGTTCAGGCTCTTAGGAGAAGCTGTGTGGTTATGCATATAAGTCGAAATGAGGGATTATAACTTCTGCAAACAGCCCCTTGGCCTTGTAATAGGCATCCTCAGGGAAAAGCTATTCTGCAGGTATTACAGTGAGCAAACATTTCCGTTTGCTTTTCCATGGGGTAGGGCTCTAAGAAGGCCAGCAAGGGTCGCATAGGCAATCCAGGCTGTAAGTCCAGGCCTGGGTGGGCATGGTCTCATGGTCTCACTTTGAGTGCAATGGAGTTGCTGCCTTTATCAGTGACTCCAATGCTCTTCTTTTACCGAGTGACAAATTCTCATCTATTTTTCCTTATCTGTTTAAGATCTGCCAGTGGTTGCTCAGTGTTTTTTTTTTTCTCTTTTTTTTTTCCCATCTCTCATCTGTCACTTCAGCAGTATGTGTTATCTGTGGGCAGCAATGTTACTGCCCAGCAATAGTTCCATCTGTGGTTAAGGATTTTGAGTGAAGATGGATTATCTATAAAATATGCATCAGGGTTTAGGGCTTTGCTAACGAGTTTTCTGTCAATTCTGAAGACTTGGACAGCTTTTCCCCAAAAGAATTGACATGAAGGGAAGTAAAAACCCCATGTTCTTAATAGCAGGTTGCACCGGGAGCCATGAGCACTAAAATTACCTGCCATGCAGAGTTATTACAGAACAGAGAGTCCTTCACATGAATACATGTCAGTATCACCAAAGTTATGAGGGCTCCTTGGCTTCCAAAGCCAATGCAGGCATCACTAGGAACAAGCTTTACCAAACACAGTCCTGTTGTCTCCTTAAAGAAGTTAACAGGTGATATCAAGTAGAAATGGTGTGATTTTCAAATAGCAAACGAGGGTTTTGACAGTGAGCTGATGCTCAGCGTCCTGTGCTGTGCATGCTGTTGGGTGGCAGCTGGTATTTTTGCCCAATAGACCCAACCGTGAAGAACCATATTTGTGCCAACTTTGAGGATTGGAGCTTCTGGTTTATTTGTCGTAAATTAGTGAATCGTTATTTTTCTCTTAAGAATGTAGCTTGATCGGATTGCAACTTATTTATCAGGAAAAGGGAAGATTGGTTAATTGTTCCATACAGGCTGTACAGAGCACGTGTTAAATATCACCTTCCTATAGAACCTGCATCCTCCATTTTGTTGCCTTAGCTTAATGTTATTGAAGTGGGAATTCACACTGTGCTCAGTTTTACTCTGCCTGGGAAATTGAATATGAATTGTGGCTGTTCAGATGAAGAGATGCTGGAAAGGTCTTAGAATGAAACGCGGCACTGAGCATGTGCTGCCAAGGCTCTCCAAGCACAATTTGCACTTCGGCTTAATTCCAAAACTGTTAATGCGTGAGCTCCATAAGCCAGCAAAGTGATGTAATAAAAACAGATTTAACCCTATGTTTTGCCACCCTGCTCTGTAGGAAATGTTTGTTAAGTCACGTAAACTTCCTTTCTTAGGTTTGGTGGGTAATTGTAACAAGGAGGACAAGTCCAAAGACCTCAGGAATCTACCTGACCCAGTGTTTGTCTGCCTGGTGCAGGGGGCAGTGCTGCTCCAGCTGCCCGAGGTCAGGTTTGCATTGGCAGCCCTGTGAGGAGCGGGGGCAGCGCTTTGCTGATCAAATCAACGCTGGCTTTGGTGATGCAACTCAGACTTGAAAACAGCAGTGCTTCAGCATTGTGCTGCTTATGTCACGTCTGGAGCTTCGAGCAGGAGACAGGAGACAGGATTAGTAACCGTCCCTGGGTTATTGATAAATATTTCTCACTTCAGAAGAGCAAAGAGCGTTCCGTCTCCTTTTTAATATCCTGCCATCAAACACTGGGTTGCACCCAATGGAGCAGAGGCATCTAACAGCCCTGCTCTGTGCTGTAGTCGTCAGCTCATCACTGGATCTCCAGCCGTTCTCATGTCTGGAAGTGTCTGGAAGTGAAATGTTGTGGGCGCGTCAGGGAATTGGTGTTAATGAACAATATTCTAATTGACTGTGGGGGAAGGTTTCACTGGGGCTCTTCTGATGGTTGTAAAAATGAATGACAATAAAGGAGATGGGCATAGATACTCATAATTCTGCCACCTTGTCAAATGTGTGCCTTTGAAAACGTACCAAAATGGAATATGTGTGTTCAGAAAACACCGTGTACCAATGGCGCTTTGCAAAACAAAATCATAGAAATTAATGTTCAAACAATTTGTGTCTAACAACTGCCAGTGGGAGTTTGTTTACAGAGGATTTTACAATAGGTGTGCATTGATCAGTTGCATGCTGCATTAAATTAAGACAAAACGATTGAGGAGGTATTTTGTGGAAACTGGAAGTTTGAAACTGCTTGGTTTTGTTTCTTTTTTCTTGCCTTCCATCTGCTTGGAAAGTTATTTTCATTCCATTACATCATTTAAACTTTACATGAGAAAATATTGCAAACAGTTCTTGTGTGATGCTGCTTTTTGGTGCCAGCATTTCTTTATCTTAAGCTGTGGCCTCGTGTGTCTGCTCAGTTTGATGTCTATGTTGCCATCTATTGCTGACAGCAGAAATGTGTCTATAGACATTGGGTGACCACTGTTATTACTGGATTATATTACTACTTGGTTAATATTAAGTCTTGAATTGTGAGAAGCCATTTGTTCACGTGAGTTCACAAGGCACTAAGTGCCATAAAGAAGGGAGAACTGGCCAGCAGAGGTAGGAGTAGTCGTCCTGATCTCTTTTTTTCAGAGGCAATTCTCCACCTGACATATTGATCATACACCAAAATTACAAACCATTGCACAATACTGGAACTAAAAGTAAGATCAGATCCCACTCAGCCTGGATTATTGTCCCTCAGTGTCACACAGTTGGTGTCAGTGGGCTTGTGTTGCCTGCAGATCATTGGGAGTGTCATTAGTAAAGAAGGAGAGCACGTGCCCAGTTGTCATGGTTCTATGTTTTTGTTTTTGTTTTTTGTGACACAACTAAGAGCTGGTGATGGTAATTCAGTAGCATGCTGTTGCTTTATGCCACAGGTATATATTTGTACTGTCTACTTTCTAGTTTAAATTGTTGGTCATAGAATTTTTTGGTATTATTAACTCTACTAAGATAAGACCGAAACTAATTGAATGGAATCATTGAAGTCTTTATCTGATGGATGTCTTCTCTGTAGGCTACAGAAAGTGAGATGGGAGATGTTGATTTAACAGGTCTTCCTGAAGCACCTGTAGACTCTGAAGATGAAGAAGAAGAGGAAGATGAAGATATTGACAGAACTTCAGATCCACTTCTAGGGCGAGATGTTGTACGAGAGTGCCTTGAGAAAGAGCCTGCAGATAAAACTGATGATGACATTGGTGAGGAGAAAACAAGTAGATGTTTGTGTAAACCTGTGTCGTGTAACTTCAGCCAGAGAGCGTACATGTAAACTGTTGACTTAATGTTAAATGTGTATCATCATCATTATGAATGATGCCTTCCAGAGATCACTTTGCACTAGGGATACTGCTAATTAAATGTTTTTTCTTCTATCTGAAGAGTATTTGTTCTGAGAACTCAAGTATTTTGAAAAACCAGTCTTTGAAACTTACTATGTGTTCAGTGTTACAATCATTGTATCTGTTGATAGGAGGGTAAGGTGGTAATTTTGACTGCCTGTGACTGTTGAATTAATTAAGTATGGAATGTTGAAGAGAACATGCTGGTGCTGCAGTGTAGATAAGCTTAATCGTGAACTGCAAAATATTTGAAAGGAAAATAATTCATTGCAGTGCCTAACTGGAAATTGGCATTAGTTTAATGGCAAAATTTAGGTTCTGCTATACTTTTGATTACTTCTGTGAACTCTGAAATGCGTTTTGTGCTCTTGATAAGCTTATAATTACTGTACAGTAAGAGTGTTTTTACTTCTTCTAAATGTTTGAAGCTGAAGTGCTTTTACACTTAGCTCGATTGCTGCCTTAAGAGTCAATCAGGGCATGATCAGGACTGTGGAGCCAAGGTTTTTTCCCCAAGTTTTGATGACAAAACACGTACTGGGCTCATTTAGCTGCAGGCACTAACAAGGGTTGTAACACCACTGAGCAGTTCCTTCCGTGGATTAATCTGAGGTTTAATGTACCTGTGGGAGGGCATGATATCTAAGGAACCCCTGGGCTTTGCAGTCTTCGTACCAATGTTTCCTTTGTCTAACAGAGCAATTATTGGAGTTTATGCATCAACTCCCTGCCTTCGCAAACATGACAATGTCTGTAAGAAGAGAACTTTGCTCAGTGATGATATTTGAAGTAGTGGAGCAAGCGGGAGCCATCATACTTGAAGATGGCCAGGAGGTAAGTAACCATCTGCAACACAGTTGAAGCACCATGGGCAGAAGGCTGCAGGTGGTCAGGGGCTGGGGAATGTTCTCTGCTGCTCTCCCACTCCTGAAAGCTAGAGAATTCCTCATCTCTTATCGTGACCCACCTCCAAAATCCCTAAACCTTAGTCCATCTATGTGTTAGATCCTGCCTGCTTGCTCTTGACTTCCTTGTTCAGGACTTTACTGTGCTTGAGTATAGAAAAAAAACGAAAACAAAACCAGCATTCAGTAATTCATGCTGTGGATTACTGTAAGGGCTAAAATTTAAGACTTCATTTTGGAGATCACTTGTGCAGAAAAATGCGTAATTTCCATTGGTCAAATAACTCCCTTCTTACAATGTAAGAATCTCCATAATCGTGGAGATGGATCCTTGAACAGGAAGTAGGTACCATAACCTAAATATCTACATTGCAAGCAGTTGCCAGTTAGGCAGTGGTTGGACTCCCAACGCTGGCGCTCTGAATTCTTACCTGCAGCCTCTCCCTGTCCTTCGATCCAGAGATGTGGGATAGCTGGAGCCCATCAATGCTCTGTGGGTGCTGAATGTGCTCTTGTTTCCAGTAGTGACCAAGTGGGGGGAAGAGCCCTCATGCTCGTTAAATAGTATAAATATACTGTAGCAATTAGCACACTGATTAAAAAGCAATCTATTCATCAGCATTGCTCCCTACTGAATTAGTACTGAAATGAAAGAAGAATGCTGAAAAGCATTCTTGTTTCAGTCAGCTTTATTGCTTGCTTTACAGTACGCATTTCTGGTGAATTACATGTTGCAAAACTGTGGTGGCAACAAACTGGAGACTGCAAGAATAAAGCTTTCGGAGATCAGAGTGCTGGAACAGCTTGTACAATTTGTTGAAGGAGCTTCACTTTTTAAATTTGTTTTTCACTCCCTCTAGCTCGATTCTTGGTATGTTATTTTAAATGGCACAGTGGAAATCAGCTATCCTGATGGGAAGAGCGAGAGCCTCTGTATGGGAAATAGTTTTGGGATTACTCCCTCTTTGGACAAACAGTACATGAATGGAGTGGTCAGAACCAAAGTAGACGACTGTCAGGTAAGATGTGTACATCTAGCTCGTATTTCTAAACATCCAATAAGAGACAGCAAACTTCTTTCATCTTAAGGCACGATCGTTATTCCACGAGCAGAAGAAAGGAGGTTGGTGTTGGATGGGCCAGGGGCTCTGCCTGTGTTAGGATAGTTGTACACTGAGCAGCAGGGATTTATTCTACATTGCTGTTGTGTGAGAAACAGGACCTTTTGCTTTCTGTTGAAATGTAACTTCAGGTGTAACCTTAGTTCACCCTAGCTGTGCTATGTGTGCGATTGACGTGCAGTAAGAACAGATAAACAGACAATAGCCATATCCAGCTTTTGCAGTGTTTGTTCCCTGTATGATTATCATTATGTTTTGGAGACAAAACGTGCTGATTAGTGTTATTTTCCTCTATTTATGACTTTCTGGTGTAGCTGGGCAGAACAGACTGGGGCTGATAACAAGTACAGTGCTGTGGTGGTTGTGTCAGAGCAGCCCAGAGATGGGGCACGAGGATGCATTCATGTTTTGAGTATTTATTAATGATCACATGTTGTCTGGGACAGTTTGTGTGTATAGCCCAGCAAGACTACTGGAGAATTCTGAACCACGTGGAAAAAAACACTCATAAAGTTGAGGAAGAAGGAGAGATTGTTATGGTAAAGGAACACAGGGAGCTGGATCGCAGTGGAACCAGAAAAGGACACATTGTTATCAAGGTGAATTTCTTCCCATTCTTTCCATTAATCTATTAAACCTTTAATAATTAAACCTTTGTTCATTTTGGTTTAAATCTGGAACTCATGTTCACTGTTGTCTGTCTCACCTCGAAAATTTAATTCTAAGGAATTTGTATTGCTCTGCAAAAATCTACTTCCATATGTCTTTCAATCAGTGTAGACCTTTGGAGTTTGTACTGACAGCACTTCTTGTGTAGTGGTTTGGCTTCTGTAGTCTGAAAGAAGAGCTTAAACTGTTCGTAATAAACAAAGTTATCACAGAATCACAGAACTGTGGGGGTTGGAAGGGACCTCCAGAGATCATCGAGTCCAACCCCCCTGCCAAAGCAGGTTCCCTACACCAGGTAAATGGCTTTTAGGAGATGTTACCGATTGTTCTGGCCAGTTACAAGCTGAAAAATGGTCTGGGAGGAACATGAGGACTTGATTTAAATATATTAGTGCATTTTTTCTCCGTGGGTTTTCCAAAACTGAAGTTTGGAACGTGGGGACTCTCTGACAGAGGTACCGGCAGGAGATGTCAGCTGTAATTTGCATTCCATTTTTAAGGCGACACCTGAGCGGCTCATCATGCACTTGATAGAAGAGCATTCTATTGTGGATCCAACTTACATCGAAGATTTCCTTTTAACGTACCGAACGTTTCTAACGAGCCCCTTGGAAGTTGGCAATAAACTCCTGGAGTGGTTCACAGTGGACAGCCTCAGGGATAAGGTGGGTTCCAGCCTCCGGGCTGTCATATGCAGGCATGGTGTTCTCTGCAAAATGTCACTGCTTCTCTTCTGCAGGATGATTGCCTTTTTAATTTTAAGATATAAACTCCTGTCTCTCTGAAATTCTTCTTGTTTTTTTACCAGCGCGTTGGGGGATCTTTTTGTTCATGATTTCTTGGTTGTATCAGCCTTGTGTTCACCTTCTGTAGTTGTTCTTTGTAGAGTTTTTCGGTGTTTTGAACATCTTAGAGCAGCTTACTGAGAAGTCTGTACTCAAAGCAAACTGTGCTGCTGATAACTCTTCCATGAACAGAACCACGTTCAACTCTGTGTAACTGTATGCAGATGCGTACGGAAAATTTACATGGTTTGGAACTTGTACTCATATCCAGTTTGTTGAAAATGGTGGCAGTAAAATTCTTGGCCATCAGTTTTATATGTTTGAGATGGAGCCGAAGGAAACTCAGCTATGGAGGCAAGGCAGGTTTTTGTGGAAGAAGTTGGCTGTGCTCCTTCAATATGGTTACTGCTGCTCCCTTTTTCCTTGTTCTCCTTCTGGCAACAACTGTTGTGTTTTTTGGGGGGAAAATGAATGTAAAGGAGGAAAGTAAAAGAAAGCAATCTCAGCAAATAGAAGAGGAAGTTGTTATTTTTAGAAGAGAAGCTGCCCTGGATTAGCATTTCTTGATAGTGTGGATGGATAAAGCAGTTGTCAGATTGAATTCCTCATGAGTAGCACACAACTGTCGCACACATAAATGCAACCCAAACAATTAGCTTCAAAACTTAGAAGCAAGTTCTTTATTGTTACATTGTGCAGCTTCCTAGGAGAGGATGTAATTAGGAGGCTTTAAAAGGATGTGTTTTAGGAAAGGCAAAAGGAAGAGAGAACTGAAGGTAGATGACTGTGCCACTGAGGACTGGGTGATGTAATCAGCCAGATACAGAGATGTCTGATGCTTGGTTTTTTCATTCATCTCCACAAGGAGAGGAAATCAGGAGTTGATTTCAAGTGCAAATGGCTTCTGCTTCTGCTGAGGAATGCATTAATCTGTGCTGTGTTATTCTGTCGTGTCCTTGTATTCTTTCTTCGCTTGTAGATTACAGCCTGTAGGAGAAGAAACGTTTTGATGTGTGCTTTTATTTTTTTAGGTTACCAGAGTGGTTTTACTGTGGGTGAACAATCATTTCAATGACTTTGAAGGTGATCCTGCTATGACTCGATTTCTGGAAGAGTTTGAAAAGAACTTAGAAAATACGGTAGGAGTGAAAAAGGACAACTGTCACACCTCTAACATTCTGCATTTCCATTTTCCAGCGTGTCTGCAAGGGTTAACACATTGTAGTCCATAAGAAAGCACTGAAGAGGTGGCTTTTAACATGGGTGTATTTGCTATAAAATATATATTTAAGTACAAAGCTCTCATAAAATAGTGCACACAGCACTCATTTCTGTGTCTTCGCGTCACTGCAGAAGGTTTATTAAGAACTGGATGCATAGAATCGTAATTTCTCTTTCTGACACTTTTTTTTTCCTACACAACTTTTTTTCCATTTCTACTAACAGAAACATCACATCGGTTTCATGTCTCTTGTGTTACAGAAAATGAAGGGACATCTCAGATTGCTGAATATTGCTTGTGCTGCCAAGGCAAAATGGAGACAAATTACCTTGCAAAAGCCTTCTAGAGACTCCCCTCTCTTTTTTAGCCTTCTTGGAGGAAGTGACAAAGGTTTTGGTATCTTTGTTGAGACTGTGGAAATTGGCAGTAAAGCTGCAGAAGCTGGACTCAAGCGTGGTGATCAGGTAGGAAATGTAAAGCTAAGTTAATTTGAAACATCCATCTCTTAATTAAAGAAATCTGGTTTAGCCAACTGAATTGTTTCCAAGACAAAGATCATCCTGTTGACTGTTAGATAAGAGTGGGGAAAAAAAAAGCAAAAATACCAATACTTTAGGTTTGTATGTTTAATATGCGTTCCTATTGAATAGTATTCAAAATATCTGAAGTGTTTAGGTATTTCAAAAACAAAATGGAGAAAACTAGACAAATTGTGGAGAATTTTGGTTGCTTTAGGACACTTTCTTAGAGGAATATGGTTGGGTTGAAGCCGTCACATCGTTTTCTTGGGTTGATTCTCATTGGGTGTTCAGCATCCCAGCCTGGGGCCAGGGAGCGTCGGGGCCCTGCAGTTGATCTGTGCTTTGGTTGTAACACCAGATGTGCAGCTGGTGATCCACCAGGTGCAGATGCTAAATGTAAGAACGTTGTCCCAGAAGTTGAGTTTGGTTAAAGTAGTTGATGGATAGGAATGGAGTTCCTGGCTCATTTACAGGATGGAACTTGAGTGGGGAAATGAAAACAGTTACTTTACAAAGAATGCTTTCATGGTACAGCTACTGTAAAGATAGTATGATAACTTCTGGCAAGAACTTAACATGCTTGTATTGTTGCCTTTACATTTGTAACTGTTGTAAAGTAACTCCATTATAAACAGCTGTTCTGATAGTTCAATTTGCATTTCTCCTTGAAGATAATGGAAGTAAATGGACAGAACTTTGAGAACATTACCTTTGCAAAAGCTCTCGAAATCTTAAGGAACAATACTCATCTCTCCATCACTGTAAAAACAAACATTTTTGGTGAGTAGACTTCACAGGTGATGTATTTCCGTGTATGTGCACAAAACCTCCAGTCTCTCTGGCTCTACAACTTGCTCTGGGAGTGAAAGATCACGTAGGAGTCCCCTGGTTGTGCCTCCATTTGCTCCGAGTGTGCAGCCTCATGGGGAGGCACTGAGCCAGCATAGCCAGCGCTCTGCTCCCTGAGAAATCCTCCAACGGCTGCTTTAGCAGCTTTAGTGTCCCTGCATGCGATATGGCTGACATGGAGCCAAAGGAGCTGGGCCAAAATATTTTGCCAAGAAACAGCAAAAAATGTCAAACTGGGTTTTCGTAAAACTTTTTATGATGGCAGTAAGAACAATAGGATAAATGGCCTTTCTGTCTCAAATCGATAAGGGAATATAAAAAGCGGTGTAGTATATAAATGTTAGCTTTTAATTGTCAGTGTGAATATAAACACATAAATACCTCCTTAAACACTCATTCAAACCATCTGTTCTCCTTCCATAATCCTGTTCAGGAAACAGAATAACCACAGCTACAGAAAGTACAAGGCTGTACGTACCAGATAGATCCTTCCTCTGTAGTGCTATCTGAGAGCTAATGGTGGTTCCCCTCTAATGTTTCCTCCTGCTGGTTACCTGCCTGTGTCCCCTATGAGTTTTCTTTTCAGCTATGATTTTCTATTTATCGCTATGCGTGTGAAAAGTTTTAAGATCCTAGCTGTTATTTATTATCATAACTCTAATGACAGCATAGAACGACTGCAGAAATCAGTCGACTAGGCTAATGAAATGGCATAAAATAAAGCATTGCTGTAGCTGAGGCAGTGATGGTTACAAACAAATGGGTTCCAACCTCTTTTCCTGCAAGCTGATAAAATTTCAAGATGATTTCTCTGATATGTTGTAATGAATTCACGTCGTGAAGCTGTTTTGAACTGCAGTAGTTGTGATTCTGTCCTCTTAATTGAGTGCTAAGTGCCTGGAATTGGCTGTGGACAATCCCCATTCTTAGATTTGAGTTTATATGGTGAAGGATTATAGCCAGAAATGGTGTCACATAATAGAAATATGCAGTTTGACTGTGAATATACGTAAAGTCCCTCATGTCTTGTTTGTCAGGCCAAGAAATCAGCTCTGCACAGCACTGTGTTCTCTTGGTACCATGTTTTCAACAGAAAGTACCACATTTCTGACATGAGTGACCTCAAAGATTTCAAAACAAAACACCCCACAACCAGCAGGAAAACCCCTATGCATTGATAAACCAGTCTGAGCAATTTGATTTTACCTTTCATTTGTGGGGAGAAACAGAAACAATGAAGACTGGCTTCTTTTCCTTGTATCTTTTGGGAGTGTCAGTGGTTGACTGCCTTAGTTTGATAAATGCAGGAGGAGGTTTGATGCACCTTATGTTTTACTGAAGGAAAATGAAGGAAAAAAAGAAAATTCCGAGCTGTCCTGAAGTTCTTCAGGATGCACCTGAACCATTAGCAAAGGTGCAGATGACAACAGTCATTAAATACGTAGAGAGATTGGCACGAATGTAGAGGTTCCTTTTTATTGATCTGGCTGCCTTTGTGAAGGCTGGAATATCTTCATTCAATGTGCTGAGGTTTGTGCTCATTCTGAAGGTAGCCAGGAGAGTCCAGCTGTGCAGAATGGGGCATCGTTTTTGGTTCAGCATTTGGGGTTACGCTTTCTGCCAAGGAATTCCACAGCAAACCTTCAATGGGAAAAGACCTGCCCCCTTAGAATCAAGATTAAAATGTAATCTATAGCCTGGTTTGGCAGCGCATTACCTTTTTCTTTTGGGTTCTGCTTTAATTTTTCTGCAGGTATGTGGGAAACCAAGGGTTTGAGGGGAAAGAAGAATGCAACACGAAGGTTTAGGTGTGCAAAGGTAAATGACAGTGGTTGTATCTTCCCTTTCAGTGTTCAAGGAGCTGCTCTGCAGGATAGGGCAAGAGAAGAATGGAATTCCACATATCCCGAAAATTGCAGAGAAGAAAAACAACCGTTATTCCATCCCAGATATGCCTGGAGATGTGGAACAGATGTTCCCCCGTGAAAAAGGAAACAAGAAATTGAAAGCAAACACCGTATCTGGTGGGAGAAACAGAATCAGGAAAATTTTAGATAAGACTCGATTCAGCATCTTGCCTCCAAAACTCTTCAGGTGCGTTGGGCTCTCCTGGTTGAGCAGCAGTTGTTCCTTATTGTAGCTGCTTTCTATCTTCAGACACGTCCATGCTGCTTTTTTTTTTTTTGTTATTGTTTTTATTTCTTTTAAAATGCAGTAAATCTGAATCACAGAATCATAGAATGGCCTGGGTTGCAAAGGACCACAATGATCATCATCCAGTTCCAACCCCCTGCTGTGTGCAGGTCACCAACCAGCAGCCCAGGCTGCCCAGAGCCACATCCAGCCTGGCCTCCAATGCCTGCAGGGATGGGGCATCCACAGCCTCCTTGGGCAGCCTGTGCCAGTGCCTCACCACCCTCTGGATGAAAAACTTCCTCCTCATATCCAACCTAAACCACCCCTGTCTCACTTTAAGACCATTCCCCCTTGTCCTATCACTATCCACCCTCATAAACAGTCATTCCCCCTCCTGTTTATATGCTCCCTTCAAATACTGGAAGGCCACAATGAGGCCTGAACTGCAGAACAAAACCAGAATATGTTTTCTGTCCCAGTGAACGCTTTCAAACACACATTCCCTTACACTCTGTTCTTAAAGCTTGCCTACTGCATTTAATTAAAACATCTGACCGCTGTTATTTTCCCCAAGATTCGCTCATCCCAAGATGATCATGCAGAACTTAACCCACCTGATTGAATCCAATTTGCTTTGCAGTGATGGCAGCGTGAGCCAATCGCAGGACGACAGCATCGTTGGGACGCGGCAGTGCCGGCACAGCCTGGCCATCATGCCTATTCCTGGGACCCTCTCATCCAGCAGCCCCGACCTGCTGCAGCCTACAACGAGCATTCTGGATTTCTCTAATCCTTCAGGTAAACAAGAGCATGAGCTTGGTAATTACAAGGCAGTTGGTTTTGGGGGGAAAATTACACCTTCTTCCAGACCAAACACACTGAGTGAGTTTACCTCTTTCTCTTGTGACCCTAACGGGTCCAAACTGGCAATTCACTGAAAATGCAGACAGCCCAAACCTCTGGTCCCTGCTTTTTTGTAGTGTGAGACCTGGTTTCTCTTAGATAAATAAATAAATACATCCATTTTCCCACCCACAAATGTCTTTGATTTACCAGAGCTCTGGTGGAAGCAGGTTGTCGTCCTCTGCTTCTGTCTTGTATTCTCATCTCTTCCCAATACCAATACTTCTGTGGCTTGACTTCTCCATCCACCATCTTTTTGTATATATTCCTAACAGTACTGTGGATAGAATTAGACAACTTTGGTACCAACATTGTTACGTTATTTTTTATATAATGTCTTGCAGACTTTAAGGTTGTTCAGTTATATGTCTGAAAAACTGAAAAGTGTTTTGAGATTTGCAATCTGGGCTTCCATTGCTGGTACTGAAGGAACACAGTAGATAGGGTGGCTGCAGGAGGTATTTGCTGTTACATGCAGCTGCCTGTAAACATGTCAAGTCAGAATCACGTTTCCCTATTTCAGATGTAAGTTCTGTGCATAATTATATATTCTGTGAAGTGCCTTCTGGCTACAGCTTATGTTTATGTAAACTTGCAGTTTTCCCCTTTAAAAGGAACAAATGCATCCTATCAAATGCATAAATATCCATAGCAAATAAGTTCCTTTTCTTTCTGGAGACCCAGTTTCTTACTGTCTACATGTGAGAGGAGAGAGCTACTCACGTGTTCTCTAAGAATAATCTACTACTGTACAAGTTACTGCATCATATGAGCAGTAGATTACTGGACCTTCACAAGTTTATCATAACAACTGTGCAATTATTTTTGAATGCTGGAGAAAACCAAAATATTTCTGACCATCTAATACATGCTCTTTAAGTTTTGTAAACATCTACATCTTGATTTGATGCTGACACGGTGTTTCTCTTTCTTCCCTGCCTGCAGCTGTTGGGTTTTACTGTAAGTATCCCGATGTGCAGCATCCTGAAGGCCTTAATGTTGCATGGCTTGCCTGATAACACATTGCACTGGTGTAGTTGTACTGTCTGGGCAGTGGGTAATCATGAGTCCTGTGAGCTTCCCTTTAATAAAAGTCCATAGGAGCTCCTTCTGAGCGCTGTAGCTCGTGGCAGAGGGCTGGGCTGAAGCAGAGAATGCCTCATTAATTCCCATTTCTGCCGCTGATATGCTGGAAGACATATCAGGCAGGCTGCTTCACTTCTCTGGGACCTTGCTTTAAACAAACGTAATTACTTGCATCCCTCTTATGGAAGCTGGATGATAATGCATTTTGAGATTGGGTTTGTTCTGCTTTTGAACTTTGCCTAACTAAAATTTGTGCATGCAAATTGGAAATGCGTCCTGTTCAGTCAGAACTTGAATTGTGTGTAGGAAAGCACTTTTTACTAATGTTTACCTGCTTAGAAGAAAAGGTGATGAGATGGACGTGTGCTTGTTTCCATCACCTGCTACTTACAAGTCACATCGTGTTCTGGTTGCATGGCATTCCTTTCCTTCCAAACTAGACTTCAGTTTGGGCTTTAAACTTGAGTGTGTTCTGATTTTTAGGTATGCTAATAACACGGTATGGGTGTTTTGGCTCTTGTGTTAATCTGTGATGATTTTAATGAGTGCAGACATTTCCCAAACAATTCCCTTGGGCAGGGGATGCCCTGCCTGGCCAGCCCCTGTCTGTGGATGCAGCTCTTACCACTGAGATTATTAAAGGCTGGGCAAGTAACAGAGAGGAGGAGGCACTTCTGCAATAGCCCTGGGCATCTCTGCTGTGGGGCTTAAGATACATTTGCATCAGACTTTTTTTTTTTTTGCCAGTCAGAGATATTTTGAGAATCTGTAATAACTGTAATGGAGAGAATTATTTCCAAATGTCAAGTTATAAACTAAACATGCATTTCTTTAAATAGTTGTTTCGTGCGATAGTCTGCCCCAGATAAAACTGTTCTCTGACACGTTTATAATTCCTAAAATATGTTTTAAATAGGTGCACTAGCAAAAGAATTAGCTGCTGGCAGCAGCTGAGTTCCTTCAGGTTGAGAGAGGGAGTGTAGAAGTGTGCAGCTAGTTCACAGATGCAGCCAGGTCTCCCTTCTCACCTGCATTCTCCTGCCCACGTGCGTGCACCTCCCTGCAGGAGCACCTTGGCACTCAACTCTGGGTCACAGGACAAAAGCCAAAAAGGAGCAGTGCTTCCAAGGACTTTGGTGTACGCTGAGAAGGGCCGTGTACAGGACAGTCATTGGACATGTAGATGTCTTGAGCTTCGTGTTCATGGGATAACATAGAAGTTAATTCAGTTGTGGAAGTGCAGAGAGGCGAAAGACTCCTCTTTTTTCCATTCAAAGACTGAATGCTTACATGGACATTTACCCAACGATGCAGAAAGCGACCTCTTGTCTTTTCACACGAAAAGTAACTTCCTACTTTCAAGGTGTTCTTCTGTTATTTCAGATATTCCAGACCAAGTAATAAGAGTTTTCAAAGCAGACCAGCAGAGCTGTTACATCATCATCAGCAAGGACACCACGGCCAAGGAGGTGGTGAGTCACGCCGTCAATGAGTTCAACCTGACCGGAGCCCCGGACACGTATTCCCTGTGTGAGGTGTCCGTCAGCCCCGAGGGGGTCATCAAGCAGCGCCGCCTTCCTGATCAGTTCTCCAAGCTGGCCGACAGGATTCAGCTCAATGGGAGGTAATGCAGCCTTTGTTTGGGGTTGGGTTGGGGTTTGTTTGCATGTTAGGGTTGAAGCATCTGAAAGAACGTGGGGAGCGATGTTTTAATGGAAGCAGACGGGTGTCTGTTGGAAGAGTAAGGAAGTGAATGTCAGCAGTGCTTTCCTTCTCTTTCCTTCTCTCCCTGTTTTACCTTCCTTTTCCTTAAGCAAAAACATCCTCCCCGACTTTACAGCAAGCTCTCTTTATGAGAGCTAAGTGCAGCAAATCAGGATATCGTATAGTGGCTTTCACTTAAAAAGAAAAACTTGTATTTCGTCTGACACTTTCCATATGTACTTCAGGATTAAAGTATGCAATTAACTTTTGCCAGTGATGTCATGTTGCAATGAACTGATACTAACCTGAGATAAATTCTTCCATTTTTATGTAAACTGTTACAAATGTTTTCTGACATGTAAAGTGCTTCGGCTCTATCTGATGACCTGGTCTATGCCTGAAAGGAGTTTACTAAGTAAAAACTTCTTTAGTCTTCTCTGCTGAGCAACAGAGAGAATTTATGAGAAATAAAGTTCTATGTATCTGAAAACGAACTGCTTTTGACCATGGAAATTAATTTTCCAGATACCTTTTCATTTCCTGAATACTATGAACTTCATGTAAATATTAATATGCCACACTGTATTTACATAAGAAACCATGCTTAATTTGTTTAAGAAATAGAGAAATGAGAGATTTCTCAAGACTAATGTGCATTTAAAGTGTTATTTCTCTGCTAAATTTACGAATGGAAAAGCGACCTTTGTTTGAAGTTGAAAGCTGCAGCATGTTACTGAGTACGGTACAGAAAACATTAGCAAAGAGGTAGACTGAAACAGCTTTGAAATGCTGAAGGATGGGGCACATACCGTACAAAGGGTACGCTGTCCCTGCCTCTCTCCTTGCCTCTTATTCTCAATTGCCACCAACAAGGTGGAAATGCTCTCCTCCAAACACCCCTCTGGTGTCAGTAATGTCTGCATTGCTTGGCTGTGGTTCAGCGCCTTTGTTCTCACGCACCCTCTGAAGAGCATCTCTAACATTCTGTTGCAACTCGACTGTTCTTAGGTATTATTTGAAAAACAACATGGAGACGGAAACCTTATGCTCAGACGAGGATGCTCAAGAGCTGCTGAGAGAGAGCCAGATTTCCCTCCTACAGCTGAGCACCATTGAGGTGGCCACTCAGCTTTCCATGAGAGACTTCGAGTTATTCCGTAACATTGAGCCTACAGAGTACATCGATGACCTTTATAAGCTGGACTCCAAAACAGGAAATGCTCACTTGAAGCAGTTTGAGGACGTCATAAATCAAGAGACCTTCTGGGTTGCCATGGAGATTTTAGCAGAGCCCAACCAACTCAAAAGGATGAAGATTATTAAGCATTTTATTAAAATTGCCCTCCACTGTCGAGAGTGCAAGAACTTCAATTCCATGTTTGCAGTTATAAGGTAAAGCACTTCCCATTTGTCAGACCTGGTTTGTGGTGTCACGGGCAGCTCTGTTCATGTGAAGGTATATCTTCACAGATTGCCAGTGGTGTGGGGTTGTGTCAAGGGAAGAGCCAGGCTTTTCCAAATGCCAGAGTGGCCCACTGTCACTGCGTTCTGTGCCTCCCTTGCCCTCAGAAGCTCAGTCTCTGTGTGTGACTGTCTCCTCTTTAACCGTTACCTAGCAGGGAAGGAGAAGATTTGGACAAGAACACCGTTTGATTGATGAAGTTGAGAAACGTGCCTGAAAGTTGCTGCCATTTTCTGTGATTCTAGCACCCAGTTTCCCTTTTTTCAGTCAGTGTTATTTTTTAATGTGCATTGAGTCATATCTGCAGTGATGAGGTTACTGTCTTCCTTTCATCGTAAGGGCTTCCTCAAATCAGTCTTGTTTTAGTTGAATATTCCTTCTCATTCTTTCTACTCATCGGCTCGTTCCCCTATTTTCCTCTTCACGATTAGACTTTCTCTTCTGATTTATACTTGGTGCTGCTACTTTGACTTCAATGGTGACAGTTCAGCATTTCTTTTATTCGCAGTTTTGCAAAGCCCTGATTGTATTAAAAAGAAAAAATCACTGTGATTCGTCAGACAGAGCTCTGGATTCGTACTGCATCCCAGCACCTGTCGTAGAAAATACCATTTTATAATTTTAATTTCAGAAGGTCTGCTTCCATGCACTGCCATTGTATCAAATGATACAGGCTTCTGTTTAGCCGTGTGCTAAAGAGTTAATGAATTCCCTTAGAAGATGCTGCTCAGCCGTCAGGGCTGTGAGTTCTTGGTACATGGTGAATACAAATGTGGATGCTGAGCCTAATTTCTATTTCCTGCTTCCTAATCTCCCATGCTTTGTTGTAGGTGGAAAATTAACTTGTCTTATTTCTGAGTTCAGCCTCACAAGGCCACAACTGAAGTGGTCTTTGATCAAAAAGTAGCAAATAAATTAGCTTTTATTTTGCCCTGGTTTCCAGAGGAGTATGTTTCTGTTGGCATATGGCACAAGGATTCTCTTTCCTGCCTTGCATTTCATGTCAATACGATGCCATGTGTTACATGAAACAGGAAGATACCATCTTAATATAGCACAGAAAAGAGAAGCTGTGTGGCGACATATGTTAGGTTTCTCATGAGAGAAAGGCTTTGTTTGTGACTTTACAATAGCATGGGGAGAACTCTGTGGTCAAAAAAATGGCAAAATAAGTTTTGGAGACTTTTAAACTGAGGAAAAATCTTTTTAAAGGAGCAAATTGCATCAATCCAGGTTTGACAGTGAGTGCTGGAGGACATCGCCTTCCAGTACTGCACCTAGAAGCACTGTCAAACTTTGCAGTGACTGTGACACTTCTTGAGCTAAATCCGTGACCAATTATCATTGGGAGTGATTACAGTTAATTATGTTTTTTTTACTGTGTCCAACTAATTCTGGATATATCTTTACTTAGTATGGGACTGGGGCATAGTGACAGAGTGCAGCTTATCTGCTTCTCTGAGTTCAGTCCCTCAGTGCTCCCTTATAGTTCTCCCCAGCATTGCCATTTTGCCTGCTGTGCTTCTCCATTGCCTCTACAGCCGTGTGTTTGCCACACAAATTTCTCACCTTTTTTGTCCTTATTTGCAGTAGACGTTTTCACAGGAGAAAAGTGGTTTGCAAATTAAATGGTCCTCAGTGCAGTTTCGGCAGGCGAACTCCAAGTTCGTTCCTTGTGAATAAGGAGCAGTCATTCTATCTACAGTTCTGCCTTTCTCTTGCTTACAAGAGCGAGCAGCAGTGGGCTTTCTGATGGACTTGCAGCCTGGCATTCCCCCAGCTTTCAGTTAACTTTGTGAAAACTGTTTGTAACCCCTCCAAAAAGCCCCACAGCCCTTTGATTCCTTTCGAAAGGGAACCATTCCACTAACAGCTAATAATGGTGTCTGCCTTGCAGTGGGTTAAATCTGGCTCCCGTGGCACGTCTCAGAGGCACTTGGGAAAAGTTACCAAGCAAGTATGAGAAGCACCTCAGAGACCTTCAAGATCTTTTTGATCCATCTCGAAACATGGCGAAGTACCGCAACATCCTTAGCAGTCAGAGCATGCAGCCTCCAATTATTCCGCTCTTCCCTGTTGTCAAGAAGGATATCACATTTCTACATGAAGGTAATGTCAAACACAGCAAAATAACAAACCAGGCACTGAATACGTTACAGCCCTGTCTTTGGTGCTCTGTGATTCAACTGATGTCTAAAAGGAAGCTGTTGCCAGTAGGGTGCTTTTGATGCATCCTTTGTAGGAGCACAATGAAATAGAACTGTGAATGCATAATAGAAGAGACCAATCCCAGCCAAAAAAAATAAGCATTAAGTGAGTATTTCGAATATTTTAAAAGCAATGCTTAGTCTTCATTAGCTGTCCTAAAGTTTAGGATGACTGTGCTGCCTAGTAATGACACTGCTAGGAGAAATATATTCCTCTTACAAGAACTTGTTGCTGCAGTGTTTCTAGGTTTCTTGTTCTATGTTGTGGTTTTCAGACAGCTATGATGATACAACACCTCCTACTCTTGCTTTCAGCATTTTTAAGGGTTTTTGTTTAAACCATCCCCTTTTTTTCTCCTTACAAAAAGTTCTGCTCCCAATTGGTTGAGGTTGAGTGTTCACAACTATGCCGGATTCCTGGTTTGGATCCCTCAGAGCTATTTGTGCTGTTTTCAGAATGTGAATACTGCAGATGTCAGTTCTTTATTTAGCACTCATGCCAATGAATTTGGGCATCATTTGCTCCTCTTTCCTCTTCCTAATACAAACTGCTTTAGAAATTGATTAATGAGAGCAGTGCTAGATAGTTGGAGTGGGTCTGACTTTTTGCTCAAGCTCTTCGTTTTCCTGCTACACTGACTAAAGCTACATTGACTAAAGCAGAGTTGTGGATGGAGGGCAGGAAGGGAGGAAGGCTAATGTGGGGGGGCTAGAAACACATTCTCTATGTACAGAAATAATTCTTATTCTTTTTGTGTGTGCATTTCAATGGTGCAGGAAATGACTCCAAAGTGGACGGCCTGGTAAATTTCGAGAAGCTCAGGATGATTGCCAAAGAAATCCGCCAAGTGGTGAGGATGACCTCAGCCAACATGGATCCAGCCGTAATGTTCAGACAAAGGTGTGCAAATTAGAAAGGCAGTAGGACTGCAGGTGGCTCAGTGGGTAGGGATCTGGGTTTGTGTGTGCATCAATACGTCTGTATCTCATTGTGTGACTTACCATTGACATTTACCATCAGAACCCAAATCTTTACCAAGTTTTGGCAGTGCGATGCTCCTAAAAGTTACTTTTAATGACTGCTGAATCAGTTTGTCTAATATAGCAAAAAAGAAAATGCTCAATAAAATAATCAGTCGAATTTTAGGAGCGATGTAGTATTAGGCAAAAACCATATATGTAAAATAGCACACAGAAATCTATGAATCTGAAATGTTGCTTTTAACAGTCTAAACACACAAAAAACCTGATAAAATATTTAAAAATAAAACAACAAAGCAATATTTTTAATTTGTTCTAAGCACAGCTTGCTACACCTACGTAATGTTTGGTGTCTTCAGGCTGTATGCAGGTGGAGAGTGTCTTCCTGCCTTGTTTTTCTTCCTTTTTCTCCTCAATGCAGTACATCAGCAGGCTTCATGTTAACAAACTGCAAAACAAAAGCGCCATGACTTCTAATGTGGTGCTGGTGAGCTCTAGATTACTCTTAGTGGAACTGAGTAATACCCTGCATCTATTTGCTTGTCCCTGGCTTAGAGAGCATCCCCAGCTCTGGCCATCCCACCCCATTGTTGAGCTCAGTGCCCAGCCCACTGGGGAGCTGGGTCCATGAGTAACTGCACAACATCTGCTTAGAAAAGCAGCAGAATAAGCCAGTGGTTGGGATTCATCGACACCAATGGGTCCTGTTTGGTACTGGCCTTCAGGGCTGGCTGTCAGCAGCCGTGAATATTTGGTTTAAAATCAGACTGGTAGAAGGCTGAGGAAAAAATAATGGATCCCTCGCAGAAGTTGTTTAAGGATTGATTCATTTGAAAGCAGAGGGTCGCCTTCATGTTGTCATATTTCAGACACTGAAACTTCCTTTCTAATCACAAAGCTACTTCTAAGTCAGCTGCTTTTCAAAAAACACGGCATTCACAGATTAAATGATGTGCACATCAGTTTCCCTGATGCTCCTTCCCATTCTGAGTCCTAATGAAGCCTAATCATTAGATGAATTAGTAGGAAATAAACAGTTACCTTTCGTATCCTTGCCAGAATTAACACAACACGTCTTAATGACCACAGTTTCAAAAGTGCCTACCGAGTTACAATGCACAGCATCTAATATTAGTGATACTGCCAAAGATTAAAAGAAAGCGACTCCTTGTTTTCAGCATTTAGATTCATTTGCATTGCCTCTGGTGTTTGATCTATCAGTTTGTGTTATGAAGCACCAACAAACGTTTTTGAAGAAGATTAAAAACGAACAAGAAAAGATGTTTGTTAGTGGTAACGAGAGACCTGCTAACGAGTTCATTGCCAATTAATACAGAGCATTGAGCTTTTCAGGGTGTGTTTGGCAAACGGCTTGTTTTCCAGCAAGCAATCAAGGGAAAACAGCACCATAAACTTGAATGCTGATGATTTCTCATACGTTTACTGCCACCCTAATGCAAAGAATAAATTAACTTAATCACGTTTTCTACATTATGAATAAGTTAAAAAGCTTTTGCTTGCTCCACCAAAATTGAGTGTGACTTATGGGAATCACTTAACAAGAAAATGTAACGTGAGTTTGGATTTTCAATTCAAAGGTTAATCTTAAAAATAAGCAAAAAAACTGATAGATGTTCTTCCATGTTGGAGTGTTTGAGCAAGTCCTGTCCTTGCATTCCATGAAAACATTGTGTTATTGTTTGAGACGAATTTTGCTGTATAGAGATTTTTTTCTTTTCTGTTCTTTCCTGTCTACATCTTTCTTCCTGACTCTCAACTGTTTTATTTTTTTCCTGTGCTTTTCTGTTCAAATACATGCTTCAATGTATATGGCTCTTGCTTACAGGAAGAAGAGGTGGAGAAGTTTGGGGTAAGTGTAGAGCTGAATGCAACTAAGATAAATAAAGATTATGCAACTCTTAACATACTGCATCCTCCTCCTTAGTGCATGCTCCTGAAGTACAGCATGCATTTTATTAACCCTGCAATTCGTATTTTTTTGAAAACAGGAATAAGAGATTTGACAGTCGACTTTGTGCAGCAGCTGTAGAGATGCTGAGTCGCTTCTGTTGCTAGACAAGTTGTTGGAGTTTTGGCTTACTGCATAGAGACAAACGGCTGTGCAGTTGTAGCGGGAGGCAAACTCTATTTGGAAAGTAACGACTTGGTCTTTACGTGTCACAGATTTAAGCCATTATGCGTTTTAAACTGTGAAGAGGCATTGAGTTGATACTGGTTGAGCAGTTCCCCCCTCTGAGTTTAAGCTTCAAAGTCTTTGTTTTTAGTGTGTATCTGAAATACACTTCATATGCCAGAGTCCTCGCTCAAGTTTTAGTTGTTCAAGGCTGGATGTTGAAATGACTGTGATGGAGGGTACTGGGGTTACCTGGTGAGCAAGCTGGCAGTGCCATGGGGCAGTGAGCTGGAGGTGACCCTGCAGCTGTATTTTGTGCATTCTCCCCTGTGTCTTTGCCCCTCAGCTGCTACCTGCATACCTCAGCCTATGTGCCTTTGCCCCTCGAAGCTCTCCTGTTCATCCTATGGGCTCAAAGCCAGCTGTGCATCCAGACACAGGTGTACACTGGGGAGGGACCAGCAGCAGGGCAGGCTGGGCACGGCTTTGGGTGCTGTTCCCTGCAGTGAGCTGGGCTGACAGCAGGACGGGGCATGGCTCAGCGTGCAGCTCATGGAGGGGAGAGGGCCCAGGTCCCTCTGGAATCCTTCCAGGCAGAGCAGGAGGTGTGCTGTGCTCATGATAGAGCAGGAGGTGTGCTGGGCTGTAGTGATTGCCAGCCTTTGGCATTGCTGGGAATTTGAGGTCGTAAGGGAAACTGATTTTTAAGGGAAATGAAGCTGACTCAAAAAGTGAACTCCATAGTTAGAAGAGACAGTGTGTACACATAAAGTAAAATATGTATTATATACATGAGGAAAGATGGTGTATTTTCCTGTTTTGTTACAAAATAGGCATTAACTTTGCTCTTGCCTGTACAGAGATCAGTTCCAATGAGTGTCAGCAGTCCATTGTGCCATCTGCTGCTCTTTGCCTGTAACAGCGTTAGCTTTTTGTTTAATTAAGCTATACATACAGTTTTTAAGCTTGTATCTTCTCTTAGCTTCATTTATGAATCATCTTCAAAAATATTGCAGGCAGGTGGTTTCCACCATTTCTTTGCTTTTAAACTCAACTTGTTCAATCCTTCAGGCTTCCTCCAGCAGTATGTTTCATTCTGGGTCTGTTAGTTATGGCAGCTCTTCTGTGCTGGGCTTTGTTTATCCTCCCACAAATGATTCTGGAAACGCACCCAGGATTTTGAGAAGTAACTTGACAAAGAATTCAGCCTTTTAAAATCCTCTGACTTTTTTATTTTTCATTTTTTAAAATATAAAACCAAAAATCACACCCTCTTCGAGCAGCTTTGCTGCAACTTCCCACGGGAGTTTTCTTGTAACATATGTGATGGTCTCTATTTACTAAAACACACAAATGGATTAGAGCTGAAGTGGCCGTGGGACTCCTGGCAGTTGAACAGATGTGATGTGTATTACTGACTGTATCTGATCAGTTGTTTGGGCACTGATGTCGTCACCTTTCATAGATGAGAGTCCATACAAGCATATGTACGTTACGGCTGCCATCCTGACCTTTGTTGGAATACATTTTCAAGGAGCTGCTGTTTTTACTTAATTGGAGAAAGAAATCAGGCATGCAACAAGTGGTGCTTTGCATATTTAACACAGTTTTTTTCCCCTCATTTACGTGCAGTCAGAAGCTCAGGTTTCTAAGTGGTCGTTGCTGTGGCAATGATGGCAAGTTACTGCAGTAAGCCTGCAGCACACAGTGGGCACCAAATTCCTTAGACAAACGAAGTTAGCAAGTTTGTCCTGCAGAAATAGCGTGGGCTGTGCAGAACAGGAGCACAATCCATCAGCAGAGCAGATTGGGTGCCTGGCACAGCCTGTGCCGCATTCTTGCAAGTCCCACCATTCCACGTGCCGTCCTTTTCCTAGGCTCCAATCGCTGCTCTTCTTTTGACCAGAGTATTTTAAGACAACCGACGTTTTAATGCCGTTCATCTTTTTTTAACTCATTTGCATCAGCATGCACTAGCCCTAACTGAAGAATACTGGTAATAACCTGCTTTGATGCTCACTGTTCAGCTCCCCGTTGCTGCTGAGACCCCAGGCCTGACCTCTGCGCTCTTCTCCTTTGCAGGTCTCTCAGCCAGGGCAGCACCAACTCCAACATGCTGGACGTGCAGGGAGGAGCTCACAAGAAGCGGGCACGGCGCAGCTCACTGCTCAACGCCAAGAAGCTGTACGAGGACGCACAGATGGCGAGGAAGGTCAAGCAGTACCTCTCCAACCTCAACGTGGAGACGGACGAGGAGAAGATCCAGATCCTGTCCCTGCAGTGTGAGCCTGCCTACAGCACCCGTAAGTGCAGCGATCTGTGAGGGTGGCAGTTCTAAATGTTGGAAAACATGGTTCCTTCCCTGGAAGCGGCACCTAGGATCTTTCTCCTCTCCCTCCAGGAAAACTCGCTCTGGGAAGCAGCTCGTTTGTCAGCTCATGTCGTCACAAACTGATAGAGTTTCAGCAAGCCAGCATTAACATTCTGATCTTGGCTGAGTTCAGAAAACTTCAGTGACATTTTTTATTTTAACCTTTAGTTCTTAAAGTGTGTGTCTTTTTATCAGCCTGGAAGGAAATTCAATAGCACATTAGCTCTGTTCTTGCCCTCTTGTCCTTGTACAGAATTAGGAAGGATAAAAGTAACGTTTACCATATGAACAGCAAGAAAATGAAACGAGACAAAATCAATACAGAAGCTGCAGTGACTTACAGCTCAGAATAAACCAAGATTGCTGAGAAGCAGAAGTCAAGTCAATATTGACTGATGGGATTGACATGGCTTGACAGTCCAAAATAGAGGACTATAGCGGGACAGTTTTCGTAATTTGAAGTCCTGTGCAGCTCTCTAACTGAACAAATCTGCTCTTACACAGTGCACAGTAATTCATATTTCAAATTGAGAAATGGTAATTGCATTTTATTTTGATCCTTAGAAATGTTCAGATTCCTGATCAGTAGGGTTGTCTCAAAATAGCAAGGTGGTAACCTCGCTAATCAAGTAATGTCTCATGCTTGTTTGATGTGCAAATGCAGCATCTTATGCCTTTTTTTGTCCTCAAATACCATTTTATCTGTGATGAGGTAACCTAAAAGCCCGAATAGGAAATGACGCCTTGAAGATAAAGCTTGAAGTCCTTTCCATTATTCAGTATTAAGAGCGCAAATTCCTGTTGTCTCCCAGAGAGCCTTTCTGTGTTGCTTTTTTTTCTCAGATAGAAACTATGTAGGGAAACACCTGACTCCGTTTTGAAATGTCAAATTCAGGGCATTCGCATTGGTCTTACACCTGAGGTTGCTGGAAATAACAGAGGAGCTCTGAATAGGAAGATTGAAGGCATGAGTTGCTAAGGTTGTGCCTCTTCTGTCTGGGGTGCTGGTGCATGGCTTTGCAGATGGCTTTTGTGCAGACAATTTGTTTTTCTCACATTCAGAGAAGTCAGAGGTAGAGCTGCCCACCCTCACGTCTTCTTTCTTTCTTCCAGTTCTGCTTGCAGGAGCAGTGAGCAGCAGTTATGCTGCAGTCCAGACAATTCCAAGGTTACTTAAGGGGAACTCGGATGGCCTTAACTCCAGAGTTTATTAATTGCTGTGTAATTAAAGTAGAAATTGAATCAGTGCCCTGTGCTGTAAATCAATTGTGCCACCTAGTGAGAGATCTGATGCTGGATGCAGAACAACCATTTCCTCTCCTTTCTGTGGCATTACGTCATTTTGAAGGAGATGCTGTTCTGCTTTTGTGCACGAGCATTTTAGATACAGAACTCAATTGCAGTTGAAATAAAACACAGCCTTTTTTTGGTTTTGGATGGAGTACCTCTGTGACACTTAACAGTTTAGTTTTTTAAATGTCATTTTGCACCTGCCTCTTCAATGTGATGAGACAGGAGTGTTGGGAATACAGAGTGTTCCAAATGTTTTGTCTGCTTCATACACAGTTGCCTTTATCTGGTTGTGCCTGTAATAACCCTGCAATTCAAAGGGCCAAATACTGATATCCAGTTTTTCCATAACAGTGACAAAGAATTTAAGTGAGAGAAGAGGGGCAAAATCCTCAGAAATGTCTCCAGTGCCCATGAGATCGATCGGTCAGACCACTAAGGCCCATCAGCAGAACAGAATGAGCCAAGTTCTTCAGGTTCCATCTGTGAACTTATACCCCAGCAGGAAGAAGGGGCTGACAAAGGATCATGTCACCTTCAGTGAGTATCCCTGCTCAGCCAGCTGGAGCTGAGTGGGTTATTTAAGATCCCTTTATGCAGGCGTCTAAGTTAAGTCCTTCTCTTGACTGCTTCTGACTCAGGTAGTCTTAATATCTCTCTTGAACAGGTCGGATGTACAGTGCTGAGCCTTTTCCTGTGTATTTTTACATTCTAAAGATGTCTTGCCTCAGTTGAGAAGAATGGCATAGTTGGTTTATTTTCCTGACAGAAAGAATTATAATATATTTTGAAATATATATGTCAAATTGTTGAAACAAATCAAATACATTTAATATTCGAGCTCTGGAACGCTGTTGTGAGAACATTCTTTTCCAAAGGAGCAACGTTTGTTTGTTGCCCCTTCTGAGCAGCAAATACTTTGTTTCTAAGCTTGCCAATTGCAAAGCACTATTATCTATTAAAATACTTGTAACGTATTTGCATAGCTTGAAATGGCTCCTTTGTTGTCATAGGTACAGGCTCACCACAGAAGTCATTAAGCTTGTCTGAGGAAGTAAGTAGCAAGAAGCAGACAGATGACACAATGTCCATGGCATCTTCTTTGCACTCCAGCCCCCCAGCTTCTCCTCAGGGCTCTCCACGCAAAGGTATGTGTGCTCCAGGGGTGTGCAGCAGGTGCCAGCATCTGTCACAGGATCATTTGTTGGTAACTTCATGTGAGAGGGGTGGTAACGTGCATAATTCATGTCAACAATAGAGTCGTGTGTTTCTGTCCATTAATAATAGACACTGTTTTCCAATATATTGTACATGTTTTGGCCTCCAAAGTGACCTAATCTGTAAGGACTGGAAGGATTCATTTCTTTAGAATAGCTTAAGTGCTTCTGACAGAGTTCCCAATAGGTTTAAGTGCTGTGGCACCCACCAGTCCATCAGTCCTGATTTAGGTGACCCCTCAGGTGAACAGGATTTGCAACCTGGGGATTTCCTGAAGGCAGAGATGTTGCACACAGACTGCAGCTATTCACGTCTTATGTTTTTGCCTAAGGTAGCTGGAGTATCAGGGGATTAGAGGGAGCTGGAGATAAAATCTCCAGAACAGCTGGTTTTGATAGCTACAAAAGTAGTGCATTCATCCAAATCCTGGAGTTGCTGTTGATATTTTTTGTTCTTGTGCACAGGGCTTTGTATTTATCCCTGTCTATACTGATGCCCTGAGAATCCCTTTATTTTTGATACCTTCGTAAAAGACCTGCATCACTTCATCATTAGTCAAGCTTGGATGGGAATTCCTTTGAAATCTCTTAACACCACTTTATAGTGAGCCAGTGTGGTCAGTGTCCAACAGTGTAAGGCATTTCTCCATCCCTTCTGTGCTGCTTTTGACTCACTGGCAGCCCAGAGCCCCACAGCATTGGCATGGCATGGCATGGTGACTTGCTGCATCTTCTCACCAGTTTCAGTGGGAGATCTGCTGGCCCATCCGCTTCTGCCTTCACAAGATACTGTTTTCTTGAGGAGAATGTCACTTACTTAGACACAGCATATGTGTAAGAACCTCGACTACTTGGGCTGCCGAACCCAGTTCCACTGGGATTTCACTTCTCTTCTGTTTCTCCTGTAAACATGTTAATTTAGTTGACTTTCTTTGAAAATACTTCGTTTCTTGGGGGATTATTTCATTAATTCAACTTGCTTTTAGCATACTGTTAGCACTGGACTAATTTGATTAAGGTAATTCATACCCTGTTGTGTGTGCACAGCTCATTGAACTTAAATTAGGTGCTTCACAGACAGCTGAAAGACATAATTTTAGGCATGAACACGTTTCACTAAATCTTAGATTTCATTTTCTTTTGAGCTGTGCCCAAGCAGTGTGCAAGTAGGACTGAAGTTTGTTTTCTTTTTTTAAATCAACCCATTACTTTCGCTGTTACTTATCAAGATTTGCCTGTGTGTACTTCATTGTAGTTGGTAACATCCCAAGGTCGGATAACTGCAGTCAGATGAATCTCTCTGGGTCTTCCTCGTCCCTCGCCAGTGAAACCAGCAACAAGAACAGCGGGCAGCGCAGCTACGGAATAGGTGGGGCTTACTTACAAAAGAAAATACAGATGATTGTCAAAGCAAGAGACAGATCTGACATAAGCGAAAAGGGAGAAAGAAAGGATGAGAGTGAAAAGGCAGAAGCTGAGCGTGAGCGCAGGAGAGAGAAGGGACCCCTGTTCAGAAGACTTAGGGAAAGAAGCTTCTCCAGGGAAAGAACAGCTTTTACTGCAAAAAGGGAAGCAGAGCACGTTCAAGCCTCAGAAAGCAGCAAAACCCAAAAGGACAGAGACAGCGATGCTCTGAGTACAGCAAGTATCTATAGCAACAGCAATTCACTGACATGTGACTGTCTGCAGATGGGGCCTAGGAGGAGAAGGAAGACTCTCTGATGTATTTTTAGAAGACAGACTGATGTCCATTCAGTGTCAGTTACACTGATGTAATCTGTGTTAGCATTATGCAGTTACAACAGGCGCACTGAAATGTGTTTAAGCTGTCCAATTCACCTGTCCAAAACAAGAAGGTGTTTGTGGCAGTGTTACCAACTCACCGCTCTTACAGCGTCATAGATAACGAGAGATGTGGAAAATCAAGGAGCAGGTACAGTGGCAGTTCTCTTAGTGTTGGCAGATGCCAACAAAACAGTAAGTTCTGTAACATTCTCTTCATTTGACTCTAAGTAGTCCCTCCTGTGATGGAAATCAGATGCTCACTTCCAGCATTGCTGGGTCTGTGTGTGGATTTGCGCTGGCCTCATTCTGCTAAGCTTTTCAGTCCAGCAAAGACTTGCATTTCTCCTGTTCCTGTGTATAAGTGCCATTATTTAATGTCCCAGCTTTCAGACAAGAGCTCGTTCACTAAGAGAGAGGAGTCCTTTTGTTCTCCAGATCTCAGGTTCTTGAAGAGGAGTGTCTTAAAAGGGGCACGTTGAGCACATTTCTTACAGTGGTGTTAATTTTGAAGAGACTGTTGGACTAAATAAAGAACATGAGATATTAATTATTGCCAAAGGAAAGGAAACTGAAATTCAGTATTAAAAATGCTGGTCCTTAATGTGAAGTTTTTCAATCCTAAGTGTACCGGTTCTGTAGTTTGATGATATTGATGATATTTTCTGCCTGTATTGCTCTTAAAGTCTTATAGCAACAACCAAGCTTCAACTGTGAAATCCCACAAAGTGCAACTGTGCACTCGGTGGCTGTATGCTAGTGGCTCCAAATGTCATCTTACATGATCTTTGTTTGGAGTGTATTTTGTGGACCAAATCACATCAGCTTTCAAGTTGTGTGTATTGCTGGTGTGGTTTTTAATTTCCTGGTCACTTCATATTTTCACCAAACTGATGTGAATGTGTGACAGCCCAGCTGAAAGGCATTAGTAGATAGAAATGATGTGAAAAACTGATTAATTGGCAGGAAATTGGAGAAAAAATACTAATCCAAGGACTGTGTCAACTGTGTATTGATATGGTCTCCTGTAAAGCAAGAAGGCAACGTTTCCATTAATTTACAGACACTCATTTGCCTATATGTGAAGCAGCTGTTGACCCAGTATTTTCAAATAAAGATTCTAATTTTATAATGCTTTGCACACAGTGTAAGGCATATTGCAGGCTGTATGCTCCCAGGGAAGGCAGCATAAGGCAGGGATGTACTTCTTGACATGCGGTGAATTTGCAGTTGGGAAACTCAATGGGAACTAAGAAAAATAAATAAATTTAAGCAAACAAACAAAAACAGCACCAAAACAGTCATTAACCCAGGACCTATTGCCCCCAGACAAATGGGAGCAAGCAACAGCTGTGGGACAGTTACTTGAGACAAAGTATTTTAAATAAACAACAAACTAGACAGATGTAACAGACACCAGATACCTCCTGAGTTTGTTTCCTGACAGCAGAAACAAAGTGAGCTTCTGCCGGCCCGCAAGATGGTGCATGGACTTATCCAGAGAGGTGTATGCTGCAGAGAGCTTGAAATCTGAGGATCTTGAACTCAGGTAGTAGGAGGCTGATGAAACAGCACAGTGTAGGACCCTCCTTCAGCTTTCCTCAGCTGGAGAGGGCCAGTCCATCACCCCGAAGGACCCCAGAGCATGTTTGCCCTCAGATCAGCACAGGTGAAGTTTGCCTTATTCAGTTCATGGCAGTTCTTTCCCTGCTCCTGTAAGATGCTCACAATAAATGGCTTAAAGAGTTGTTCATACTGAGGGAGTTTGTGACACTGTGCAGGGACAGACGTCCTGTTCTGAGTCACCTCAGCTGTGCCAGCAGAGCAGTATGCAAGGTGCACGCAGCCAGAGCGCATGGAAGGCCCTAAGATGGTCCCTTTGATGTCTATCCAGGTGCTGTAGGAGGTTTGGATATATGTGGCTACGTACATCATTTGTATTTGAAACTTGTTGTTTGAGGGTTAGGGTGAACCAAGCAGGAGTGTGTTGCTCTGCTCTGAACCCACTGAGGCTTTCAGCCGTTCCTTCCTGCAGGCCTGGCCCTGCTGCTGTTTCCCACTTTCGCTTCCTGATCTGTTAATCCTGGAACAGCTAATAAAGCTGAAATGGGCCATATGGTGTATCCCCGAGTGCTGATGGCTTGCTTTTACCTCAGTCGGCGTCTCCTCAGCCACTGCCAAAATCTTTTTGTGAGTCTCACAGCAGTCGGCCAGAGGAAGCTGTGGGAGCATGCTGCAATTTTACTGGGACTGAACGGTGCAAAATGGGAGAGATCTGACCCATCCGCCCACTGCACACACTGCAGACACTGCTCCTGTCTGTACTGGTGAAACCATATGGTGTGGATCGCTGTGGAGCTGCTGCTTAGGTTATTGGGGGCACCTGGCTTGCGTTAAAAAATTGCAGGATAGATGCTGACATGCTAAAGGCTTTAGTACCATAAAAACCTCAGTGGACTGTTTGTAATCAAGTTGGGCTTGATTTTTTCCTTCTTTTTTTCATTTAGAGAGCTATGATGTTTGTCATTGAATGAGACGTTTTCTCCTTCTCTCCCTCAGGCTATGCCCTCATTCCTTCCACCAAATCTGACAACTTCTCAGACTCCAGTCACAGTGAGATTTCCTCCCGCTCCAGCATCGTCAGCAACTGCTCTGTGGACTCGATGTCGGCCGCGCTGCAGGACGAGCGCAGCTTGTCACAGTCACTGCTGGTGGTGGACTCAGCAGGGATGGAACGGAAGGAGCATTCCCAGGCAGAGTACGGGCAGCCCTGCCCCGGGTGAGACAGCTGTGCTGGGCTGGCTGGGCTCTTCTGGTGGAAGAGAGGGGAACGAAGCTGTAGGGAGGGTGGTTGCAAACTGTGCTTGACCGTGACCAGCGGTGTGCCCTCGTGTTCAAGAAGGCCAGTGATGTCATGGTTGACCAGTAGTTGACTGATGGATTGGCCATGAGCCCGCAGCGTGCCTTGGTGGCCAAAAAGGCCAATGGTGCCCTGGGGTGCATGGCACAGAGTGTGGCCAGCAGGCAGTGGAGGGTCTCCTCTCCTCTGCTCTGCCCTGGGGAGGGCACATCTGGAGCACTGCACACAGTGTGAGGGTCTCAGCTGCGGGCAGATGGGGAGCTGCTGGAAAGAGCCCAGAGGAGGGTGCAGAGATGGGGGCCTGGAGCACCTCCTGATGGGGACAGACTGAGAGCCCTGGGCTTGTTTGCCTTGGGAAGAGAGAACCAAGAGGGGATCTGCTCAGTACTGATCAGTATCTGAAGGGCATTAGGAGGGCAGGGCTGTGTTTGGTGGTAACCAGTGACAGGATAAGGGGCACCAGGCACAAACTGCAACATGGGAAGTTCCATAAAAACATGAGAAAGAACTTCTGTGCTGTGGGGATGACAGAGCCTTGGCACGAGCTGCCAGAGAAGTGGTGGAATCTCCTTCTCTGGAGATACTCAAAACCCACCTGGATGCTGTTCTGTGCAGCTGCTGTAGGGAACCTGCTTTAGCAATGGAGTTGGATTGGAAGATATCCAGAAGTCCCTTTCAACCCCTATGGTTCCGTGACACTGTGATGGTGTTAAGCACTTGCCAGAAGCTGAGGTATTGGCTGCTCTGTGTGGGAAATTTATGTTTTCCCATGAAACTTTATCACATGTATAGACAACAGCTTAATCGCATCAGTGGGTTCAGCTGGATGTCTTCTGCAGGAGGCTGCAAATGCATTAAAAGCTGTTGTGATATTTAACAAAGCACTCACCATACAGTGCTGGGAGAGCAGAACAGGATCCCAGCAGTTACCTCGGTCAGCAGAAGCAGTCACTTAACATACTCTAATAAGATTTTAAAGGATTTTTTAGTTACTGTTCTTCTTGTTGCTTAGGCAGAGCGGAAGCTTTCTGCCACTTGCACAAGAGGTGGTGTTACCTGAGTGCAATGAGGTCATATCCTGAGATGCCCCTTTCAACTGTGACGTTTTGGGTTTTACTACATTTTAACCCACAGGGTTGATTATGTGGGAATCTCCTCGGGATGGCTTCTTCTGTCCTCAGATGTTGTGGAGTCAAGTCAATGGGAGATTCTTCTTACAATTCTAATCATTGTAGGTCAACTCAAAAGCAATCTAATCTTTTTATGATTGGACACTACACAGAGCTTTGTGTTCCTCTGTAATTGATTTTAACGTGCCAGTATTCTGTGGTGTTCTCTCCTGCGTGAAAAAGATTATTAGCATATGCTTTGCAGCTTTTAAGAAGTCGGTTTGATTTATCCCGTTGTGCTGAAATGGGCATTAAAAGGTGAGCTTTGTAAACTGAAGTAATTCCCTTTTCTAAAAGGCATAGCACGTGCTGAGAGTGCAGTCAGAGCAGTCTGTGTGCCAAGCAAAATGTCCCTTTGCAGGGGTCCCTGCAAAGGTTCTGGGTATTCGAAGCCACCTTCAGTGCTGAAGCACAGTGAGTTGCTGCCTGCTAAACTCACTGCTCTGATTGCACGTGGGAGGCAGATTATTCAAGGGCTGTGGCTGCTTTTCCATGCCTTAGTTTTAGTGGGTTTTGGAGGTAAGAAAACAGTTTTTATGCTAGAATTTGTCAAATAGAAAAGCAAGGAGAAAAGAAGTTATTTGCACGTATCTAAGGAGTTCCTTGATCTCCAGTATGTCAATAAACTGCAGGAGGATAGTGTTGGGTTTTCATGTTGTGCTTCCTGTGTTGTTCACATAAGCAGAGTCTACTAGTCATAACTTCTTTATTCTAAATTCCTGCAAACCTGACTGCTTGATTTTTTTCTTAGTTATGTAGTGATATTGACCAGAGCTTTTAGCAACCATTTGTTTAAGCAAGAAATGTTGTTTTAAAAGCTGACGGGTGTCTGATTCCCGTTGTTTCCAACTGCAGCTGGTCGGTCACCAGGCCCGCTCTGATCAGAGGGATGGCCTTCACCTCCTCCATGAGCAACGAGGAGATTTCCCACGAGCACATCACAGTGGAGGCAGCAGACAGCGGCCGGGGCAGCTGGACCTCGTGCTCAAGCAGCTCTCATGACAACTTCCAGAATATCCCAAACCAGAAGAGCTGGGATCTCCTCAATTCCTACCGCCACACCCAGCTGGACGGACCCATCGCCGAGGTTGATCCCACAAACTGTTACTCAGAGGAGGCCTATTTATATTCCGAAGCCTTTTCCAAAAACAACAGGCAGTCGAAAGCCAGCACGGAGCTCGATCAGTCTCGGCAGAGCTGGGCCTCCTCGAGCTCCCTGTCAGACACGTACGAGACAAACTATGGGACCATTAAACGCAGGGGGCTGGAGAACTCGACGTCAGAGCAGACGGAGGTTTTGGACTCTAAGCCTGGCACTGACACAGCGTACAAAACTGTTACTTCGAGTACAGAGAAAGGCCTGATAGGTAAGGCAAGCCAACGGCGCATGGGAGCTTCTACATCTGGTCTGCATTTTGATATTGAGTTGTTAAGAAATGACATCAGCAGATGCGGGGGCTGGATTGCATGTTAAATTCAGCTTTACATGTGGTTTTAATTAGAGCGCTGCTCAGACAGTGTGTTTTCAAACCACCTTCCCTTGCAATACGAATCTTGAAATAACAAAGCAGCACACTTCCCAAACACTTCACGGGTCTGCAGAAGAGCTGCCTTCATGAAAATGTCAGGCAGTTCCTCTCTATACAGTGACCTTTTATCTTTTTGGAATTTGAAACCCTCATCACTGCAAACTCTCATTCTGGCAAGGAGCAGCAAGCATTGGCTCCTCGAAGCATCCTCACAGAGCAGACTTTCCATGATCCAGAGAGAGAGGAGTGTGACTCCTGGGTAATGCAAAGCAGCCCCACCTCTGGAGCTGGGCACCTTCTGGCCGCAGTCCTTTTGTCCCTGGGGGCTTGAGGGCAAAGTTTTGATTTACGCTGTCATTTATTTGGTTACACAGCTGCAGTTTCACTACAGATGAAAGGAGAAAGCCTTATGTCTTCTCAAAGATGCATAGCTTTTAGCAAGTGAGATGTTCTTCCACTGTCCTAGTGAGTTCAGTGGCAAAACTGCCCCCAAAAAAGGATCTGGGTTATGAACAAGATAAAACGTGGAGTACAAAGCTTCTAAACTCTAAGCCGTGAGTGCAGCTGAAATGCACATTAATTACTGCCTAGATTGCTAGAGGGCTTATGTTATCAAAGGTAATTGCCTGAATAAAGATTGCACACAGGGTGGAGGTCTTGGAGTGCAAGTTGCAGAGGCAACGTGGGGTCCCTTGCAGCAGATCTGCTCACAGCTCACTCCTATGCATGCACTCCGCCAGTGTAAAACTCTCAGGACTGCTGGTGAGCTGCTGTAGGGTATGGCACGTTAGCTGCTGTTCAGGACGTGCTGCGTTTGCTCACAGCTTCTCCCCTTGTTTTTAATTCCCTTTGCACACTGCACCGTGTAGCTTGCCTCCTGTATGCAGTCACAGCACACTGGTAAGCAGCGCCCCGCCGTGTGCTTCAGCAGAGCATGTGCTCACCTGCTTAAAGAGCTGATGGAGGTGGATAGGATTCATGGTTTGCAAATGCTAATCTGTGAGCTATGCATCATCATACAATATACCAAAGATATTTTTTGCTTTATTTCACACCATTTGCTTATTATTCCCTTCAAACAGCTTGTTACCAGAGTCCGTAATGACTGCCTGAATTCAGGATACTGTAAACAAAACAAGAACCTTCAGTTCATTTGCTTAATGAGAACTGGTGTTGAATAGTCCGCAAAAGAATTGGCACGAGCTTTCTTGCCTGAAACCTTTAAAACAGGGCTGGAAAGCGACTCCCCACACACTGATGGCAGACTGTGCTCTTGGCAGAGGCAGTGGGTGCGATGACTTCACAGCTCCGTGCCCAGCTCTGCATTCTGTAGCACTGAACGTTTCTTGCTGCAACCTTTGCTTTACAGGCAAGAAAGTGTGGGATGATGATGGACCATCACTGTATGTCCAAATGGAAAAGCTTTCTCCTACTTTGTACCCACAGTACACAATTTATTTCTGCCTCTTAGTGAGGTTTCCCTTAACCACTGTGTGGATCACCCTGTTTTCTTTATAAAGTCAATGTCTGTGTAGGCAATCAGCTCTTTGCAGGGGATCTGTGATGCACTTTGTTTTGTACCTTCAGTAGATTTTACCTAAAAGATGAGATTTTACCTAAAACACACCCTGACATTATGGTTCTAATTAAGTTCAGATCTTAATTATTAAATGGCTTTCCTTAGCTATTCCTAACACTGTAATGGATTTCCCAAGCTGTGTTCCAAGCTTCAGTTGATCACTGCCATGTTTCGTCTGCTTGAGAGCGCACATGGAGAAGGAAGGGGGTTTATATTTCTGGGAGTATATAGGCAGTAAGAGAGTGGTAGAGTATCTCTGTTATTTGAGAGAGAAAGGCCAGGAGATGTGATTTTTAGTTGGAGGGAATATCTTGGTGGGAACAGGAGAGGGTAAAGGAGTTGCAAGAAAAAGCCCAGCCCTGCAGGACAGCTGGTGGGAGGGTCTGTAATCCCCAGGGACTGTGAGTGAGTGAGTGAGTGAGTGACAAAAAATGATGGATATGAAGTGCTATTTATTTTTATAGCATTTGTAAAGTAGTATGAAAGAGAGCTGAGCCAATTATTCCAACCTTCATTATTAGGGCGGACTCGTTATAGCTCCAGGTAAGCTGCAGCTTTCTCCTTCACAGGAGAACATAACCCACCCTTGTCAGCCTCAGACCCAACAAAGTGTAATGCCAAAGTGTAATCCCAGTTACATGAAAAGGGTTTCTCTCAATCAGAGTCACTGCCTCTACCCACCTCTACCCATTTGTTAAAGCTTCTACCACGTGAATCCAGTGTCATTTTGCTAGCAGCCAGGCATGTACTGAGACCATCCCTTAGGAACCAACTCCCATCCCTGCTGCTACTGCCCAGAATCACACAAGTCCCCGACACGAAAAGAAACACAGCTTTATTTTTGTTCTTCCACCTTATTGTAAGATAAGAAGATACTACAACTGTTGAAGTAATTGAAACTGTAATGAGCGTGCACTGTTTTAAATGTATCCACAAGAAGAATGCAAATTTACTCTGCTAACAGATTTTTGAATTATCCTAGCTTTGAAACGATCCTGTTGCAACTTGCGTATGGAAAAAGCCCAATTTAACATGCATATGAGCCCTTGAGCTGGGAGTGGGTGGGAGGGGAGGTCGTGTGCTGGAAGCTAAGTTTGGGATGAGGGGCTGTGAGATGTAAAGGAGCAATGGATGGGGAAGGAAGGCAGGGGGTGAGTTCTGCAAACGGCCACTGTGATTAAATGCTACTGCCAGCAATTCGTGGTGAGTGCAGAAGGTAACGGAGCCTTTCCAAAGGTGATTTCTGGTTATTCATCACCTGTAAACAGAGAATTTAAGATACAGGATAAAAAATAATTAAAAGCGTGTATATTCTAAGCCATTGTTAACTACTGCAAAGTGCAAAATACTGGGTACAGGCTCTATGTATACTTTGCCTCATAGGGGCAGCTTCATGTGATACAGTTTTTAAAACTCCTGTAGCACAGCTGATGGAATAGTTAAATATCTTACCACACATCAGTTAATGAGGTGGTATTTAATTACAGTGAATTTCTGTGAAGCCCCCGAGCGCCTTTCGGCTGATGGAAGCAATGCCTTGGAGTCAAGGAGCAGTCCTTGCTCACGGGTGCCAGTGCTGTGCCATACAAGGCAGGGCTGCTGCCTGAAGTGCTGCTCTTTCAGCTTCCTGGGCTGTATGAAGGCTCACAGACCTGGCTGCAGCAGTGCCCTGCTGCCCTCCTCTGGCACCAGCAGCTTCCCTCGTCCCGCAGCGGCGCACCAAGCTCTGCCATTGCAGGCTGGCTGTAGGGGATGCTGTGCTTCCAGCTGGGCACCCTGCCCAGTGAGTTCCTGCTTCTGTTGCCGCTCTGACTTCTTGAAATAAGTACAAGGCATAATCGAAAGCATAAATACCTGCTGCTGTCGTTATAACCAGTGTTTCTGCATTTGCATTTTGTTATCAGTTTCTGTTTTGCCATTGTAACATTTCATGATTTTTTAACGTTTTGTTTCCTTTGTTTTCTTCCTTAACATTTCCATTGCTTATTTCTCGTGCCAGTGTACTGTGTCACCTCACCTAAGAAGGACGATAGGTATAGGGAGCCTCCGCCCACCCCTCCGGGATATATGGGGATATCTTTAGCGGACATAAAGGAAGGATCGCCCCACCACCCACACCTAAAACCTCCCGACTATAGTGTGGCAGTGCAGAGGTCAAAGATGCTGCACAGTGACCTCTCTAGACTCTCGTCAGCCCCTCTCGGGAGCGACCCGGTGGCCTGTATTGCATCGAAGATGCCTCAGTGGCATAGTCGGCAGCCGTCCGGCCCCCAGCTAGCAGATATGCCTGGCGCAGATAGTGAAGAGGATGGTATGTGGAACACCTGGCTCGGGAGACGTTAATTAACACCGTGTTAATGGGTCTGTGCAGTGCTTCCTTCGCAGTGACGGTCCGGGCTTTCTCTTCGTCCCGCTTTGAGGCTGAAACTTCGCTCACCTCTAGATGCACAAATGTGTTGGTGTGTGCATATCTACACCCACGTTTGTAGATATGCACGTCTGGAAAAAATAATGCTTTCTTTTCAGAAAAAGAAAACAATTTAATTGCTGTGGGTGGGCCCTCCCACATCCAAACAAGAAGCTCACGAGCGTGGAGATGCTGGTTTTTCTCTAAAATGTGCCCCCACTCAGTGGTGATGATTTAAGGGACACTGTCAGGCCTTAAATTACATGCAGATGAGCTCCAACCTGCCTGGGTTAATTAATTGGCATCCCACTGTTTTGGGGATGATGACCTAAATTGGTTCTTTCGAATTCCGCTGTGGTCAGGCTTTGTGTAACTCTTACCTCGTGTCCCATTTGTACCCCTAATGTGCCTCCCCTATAGGGATTTCTGGAGTATGAGCTTAAAAACATTGAAGAAAACAGCAGTAATGTTTTGTTCTTCTGAAAAGTGCATTTAATAGAACCTAAGCTGAGCCCACCAGCCCTGGCAGCGTCCCTTGCAGTGAAATTCCCCTCAGTCTTGTTTGAAGCAACAGCCAACGCTGCGGAGCACAGCATATATCCTGTGATCAGAGTACAAGAATGCTCTTACATGGTGTCAACACCCAGCTAGGGCAATTACTGCTCCATTGTTTATCTGCTGATTTGCTTTTAATTGTTATGCGCTGATGTGATCTCTCTGTACCCTTTCTGGTGAACTGACTATTTATCGGGGCGTTGTGGTCGCTTCTTTCAATCTGCCTGGCTTAAAACAAACATTAATTGGGATGAAAATGATTTCTGATGCAAAGTAGTCCTGTCTTGGCCTGTTCCGATGTGTAAATGGCACTTAATGTGTGTATTAGTACTGCAATCCAAATTTGGGTTAAAAGTCTTAAAATTGCCCAGCATCCGTTCAGTAGTGATATCAAATCTTTCTGCTGTAAGAATAAGGAAGTAATTGCTTCAAACATCGTAATTAAAACATTTCTGAACTAAATTTAACCATGCACTTGTAGATACACCTCTCGCTGTGTTGCAAGTGCCTGGTTAATTTTGTTTGGAACGTCTTCACAACCATCACTGCATGCTGGGATGTGATTTACTGCTTCGCCCTGAGTCTGTAGGTTGGGGGATATGGGGAGCTGCATGCCAACCCTCGGAGGCAATGGGATTCCCCATTTCGCAGTGCATACACTGTGTGCCTCTCACACGTGTGAGGGTTCATCACGTGGGGATCCATGATGTGCTGCAGGCTCTTGTTGAGACAGCGGAAGCACCGCAGTGCAGCGCTGAAGTCTTAACAGAACCGCAGTGATCAGGCGATTGGGTTCTGTTCTGTGCTGTCTGCATCCGAGGCAGCAGGCCCGTGCAATAAGGTGCTGTTTTCTCTTGTTTTGCAGAAGATGAACAAGTATCAGCAGTCTAACCATCGAGCTATCCACATAAACCACTTGAAAGCACGAGGGATGCTGGAAGGAGGACCACAGGATCCCGTTAGCGACTGCTAACGACTTGCTGCTACTCACCTCACTCATCGAGTTCGCCTCTGTCACGGATGGGATGAACTGTTGGGGTCGTTGCTGTCCCCTCCCTCTGCTCTGCCACATCCCCGGGGCTGTGTGCCCAGCAGGCAGGGCGCCGGGAGGGCCGTGGGGCAGGAAGAGTTCTGTAGGATCCCATCCATCCCTCAGTAGTTCCCTCCTCGTTATTTTCTACATCTAAGAGTGTTGTTTTATGAACTCGGAAGAAGAAAAAAAAAAAAAAAAAAAAAGTCAGCAAGAACCGAAGGACGTTGCTGCAATATCTGAAAATAATTTATTAATTTAAATTTCTTTCTTGTTTTGGTTTGGTGTTTTTTTTTGTTGTTGTTGTTGTTTTGGTTTGGTTTTTGGGATGGGAATTTCCTTCGTGTCGGGGGCGCTCAGGTTGGCTAACGTCGAACGTGAAACCGCGCGTGATGGCGCACGAGCGCCGAGTAAAACCCTCGCGCCCTCCAAAAGCTCCAGGCGCGCTCCAGCAGGACGCCAAGGGCAGCGCAGCGCCGCGTGCCGGCCTGGGGAGCGCTGCCATCTGCTGGCCCTGCCTCCCAGCACAGCACGCTGCATGCTGCTGGATGTTCTTCAGCCGCCGGCCGATGAGTGGCGTCGCCGGTGTTCTCCTCCCCTGCTAAGCAGCCGTTTGAGAAGCGGCAGCTGCCGCTCGCAGCTGCTGGGTGAGTTTGATGCTTTCCCGGAGGAGCTTTGGCCGGGTTCCAAGTGCAGAGGTGCTGCTGGCAGCCCAAACCCAGCCGCGTGCTGTGGGTTTGCAGCTCAGCCCACGCGTCCCGGCCCTCTGCCAGAGCTGCTGCAGGATTCAGGGGCAAAGGTTAGAAAAGAAATAGGTAGAGAAACAAAACTGCCTTCCTTTCACGTTAAAGTGACTGAAACCGAATGTTAGGCGACTGCATGGGAACTGTTAGGTCACAGCCCGAGCCAGTGATTGAGCACCTGGTGGAGGGGTGTAGGCAGCCCTGCGAGCACAGGTGGCAGCGATCCCAGGGGCCCCCCAGGGTGCAGCCCTCGCCAACCTCATATGAGCACTGGCAGGGGCAGGGGAAGGATCTCTGCTAGGAAATGGCCTCCTTTGGAGCGTCGGGTGAGCCCTGGTTCTCGGAATGGGGTAAGAATGGGGGCTTTTTCTTTGTTGCCAGATTGTGAGTGCTGCCTTTCTTGGGCGATCTGAAGCTGGTTTAAAGCAGCTGCATCTGCTGCCTCCTGTCCTTACAGATGGCGTAACGTTTAGGTGTGGGTACAGTGTGTTTTGTGGGGGTTGGTGCTCCTTTGGAAAATAGAGGTGATCTCCAATGTGCTGTTCTAAACCTTAAGTAGGAGCCCTGAAGCTGCTGGTGCCCCTGAAGGCCCTGACTTACACACAGCCCCTGTAGCTTCTGTCTGGTGATGGTTGAGTAGGTGACAATTTGCTTTGGTTTTGTGTAGCTAACCGGAGCGCACAGGGTTAAAACTGGAAATACCTGCCTTTTCCTTTCCTTCTAGCACACGATGCCCCATTCTAGTGTTAATTGGACATGAATGTGTGAATAATACGTATTTAAACATTTAATTGTAAATCTTTGTTGTGATGTTTACAGCCTAAGCTAGAAAGAAGATGTTTGTCATTTTTACAGTGCCTCAGAAATGATTTCTATATCCATAGTTGTGAAGAGCTTTAAGATTATTATTTTGTTTTTCCCCTGTATGTGTGCGGGGGGGGTGCGAGGTGAGTGCTGTGTCACAACCAGAAACACCCCAAAGCCTCTGATGTGCTGTCCCCATAGTGATGCTGGTGCTGTGAGCAGAGATGGGGCTGCCCTCTGTCACCTCATAGCACGAGCATCCAAGGAGCGGGTAGCTGGGAAATGGTCTTAAATCACATGAGGTATAGCTTAACACAAAAGCATTTTGCTTTTTCGAGGCCTTAATGAGCACCACGAACCTGCACGGGCCTTAATGAACGAAGGTTAATGTGAGCCTCAGATCGCTGCAGGGTAGGGTAGTTCCTTCCAGCACAGCCGTGTTGGTAACGGAGCTGTTAGACTGATGTGTGGGGATGGGATCTGAACCCCGGCCGTCCCACTGCGCTGCTGTTTGCCTTCCGTGTGCAGTCCCAGCAGTGCTGGGTGAGCCACCTGTGCTGGCCATTGCTGCAGCCATTGAACAAAGGTTGGGGGATAAGGGCTGCTGAGACTCCCGTGTCCCTGTGCTGCTCCGGGTGGCCGCAGGTGACAAACCTGTCGGTCTGGGCACTGACAAACTCCTCGAGCCAGTGAAAGGCTGCTCCCCTTGTTCCCTGGCATCCAATACAGCCAGTGTAAATAAATCACGCGCCGACTATCGGCACGTGAGCTGCCCCTCCCGCTTCTCCTGAGCGCACGGTGGTTTGCCCTCCGCTCGTCCTTGCCGTGGTTCCTTCTGTTTGTCCGTTTTAAAACGAACCGATCACATTGATCGGGGCCGATAGCCAGGTGTGCTGTGTCCACTGTGGGTTTGAAGAGACATTATCCCTTTTTTTCCACAAAGTGAGGTGCAAATAGGACCCCAGCCAGGTCCTACTGCTGCCCTCCAGCAGCGTCCTTTACCCCCAGCCCTTCCTAAAGAGCAATGAAGCGCTGAGAACTTCAGCAGTCCTCTGCAGCAGCAGAAAGGGGGCAGTAAGTGAGCCCTGAGCTGTGGTCCCTCCTCTCCTGGTGCAAAGCATGGCACGGAGCTGTGTGCAGGCTGTCCCTGTGGCTCAGCCTGTCCCATGTGGGGAAGGGATGCTGGCGTGGCAGTTCTCATAAAGCATTTGGGTTAGAATTAATTTAAGGATAAGCTTCCCACTGCCTGTGCAAGAGCAGAGGAAAACAGGGATACTCTCTCTTTAGAAAAGCTTGACACGTTGTATTTTAGAACGCTTGTATAGAGGGTAATCTACCTTGAATTCCCAATCCAGCTTTTGCTTACGTTGTGCTTTTTATTGTTTTATCTTTATTTTTGATATACCTGGAATGCAGTTTAGCTTGGTATTAATTAAATTCTAACTATGTGAGCATATTGGCAAAACTGCACAGATGTAATGATATTCCAATAGCAATTGTACTGCACAAGTCAGTGATTGTAAAGTATTCTGTAACAAGCAATGTTTGTCTCCTATTTTTTGATACCTCTTACACTTATGTCTTTTAGAAAGACAGTGCCTCTGTATGCTTTTTTGTATTTTTACTGAGTGATTGTAAATATTTGTTATATTTTTGGTTAAGAGAATGTTTAAAAGTACTGTTTATTATCCAATCTATTAATATGTTGGAATCAATAAACAATCTACATCCAGAAGCTTCTTTGGCTGTGCCCGTGGGGGTGCTCTGCTCTCATCCTCGCTTCTCCCTTTGCCCTGACTGGGCGCTCACCATCCCATGAAGGCCATCTCTGAGCACGGAGTGTTTATTTAATTCCTGTGTTCTGGGGCTGGGGAAATACAGCTCATCCACCTTTGCTTTGGGAGAAACACTTAGAATGCTTATAGACCCCGTGATGTTTCTGACAGCTCTTACAGTTTGCCACGTAATTTTGGTGCTTTGAACTTTCCTAAAGGTCCTGGAGGTGCGCGGTGATGGAACTGCTCCCACTTCTCCCATTCCTGACTCAGGGAAGCACGGGGTCTGTGGGAGCAATGCCCTGTGGGGTGGGGGGGGGGGAGTGGTGGTTACTGAGCTCCAGCTGCAGCTCTGCCTGCATTTAGTGCTTAGGAGCAGCTGTAAAAATGAAGGTTGTAATTGCACCTGCAATCTTGAGCCTCAGGGTGTAACTTCATACCCTCAAAACATCTGTGTTAGGATCATAGCTGGAGGGGCAGGTAACTGGCTTGTTTTTTAGACTTGCTACTCGCACCAGTATTATAAATTCACGCTCATTTCTGAGCAAGCACGAGCACAACTCGTGTTGCACAAAGCTATGGGGCAGTGGCCGTGGTGGGAGCAGCATGCATTTTTGTTCTGGGACAGCGCTGATACGCAGCAGAAGCCATTGTGCTGTAAGGAAGGCCCTGAGCAAGGTGATGGTGTCATCCCATCTCTGTGGGGAAAGCAATGAGATTGGAACTGTGTTCTGGGAGGCTGCTGGCTGTGAGCACGGTGCCTGGGGTCTGCTGCTCTGGGGAAGGCACAGCGCTGGTGCCGGAGTGCGCAGGATGTAACCCTTCTATGGGTTCTAATAGGGGTTGGAGGGCTGAGGACATGGCTGGCACTACACGAGCTGCGTGGTGCTGTCTGCCAGTGTGACCACAGGGTGAATTTGGCTGAGTTGTCCCTTTTTGTGTGATACATCCACCAGCCTCTGCAGCACCTATAGGGGGAGGGCTGGAAAGCCTGTGCCCTCCTCATGGCTTCATCTCCTTTGAATTCCTGTACTGATACACAGCCAGTGGAGAGGAGGATCTCAAACAGATTTCAGAGCAGTGCCATGTCCCACTGTGGGGCACTGAGCCCCCCAGGTCCCTTCCCCTGCACCATGCAGTGTGTCTGCCATCCACCTCTACCATCTGCAGAGATCATCACATCGGCAAGACATCACCCTTAGTTTTACAGCAGTGGCAGTTGAATGCAGTTGGAGATGTGGCTTCTAATGAGGAGTGGTGTCATTAGGGCCTTCATAGGACAAACAGCTCAGAAGGGGCTCTGTGTCCTCATATATCTGCGCAAACGTTCCTGCTCACTTTCAAGGCTTGAGTAACACCATAGCTGGTTGCTAAGCTGTCCGGAATGTCCCCAGGGTCAGAGGAGAATCCCCATGAGCTTCTTTGTGTAAAAGAGAAAAAGGAAACGCTTTATGAAGCCTCTAAACTAACCCCTGTGCCCAAAGTGCATCATAAAAACCAGTGTAAGAAGGGGAGATTTGGACAGTGCCAAGTGAAGGGCCGTGGGGGTATTTTCCTATGGGGTACGAACTGCTCAGTGCAGCCCTACAGAGCTCAGCAATCGCAGAGCTGCCAGGAGATGTTCTGAGTTCAGTCCTTTGGGGGCTCTGTCTGTCCTTAGGCTGTCCCTGTACGTGTGCCTGTGTTACAAGACTTATTTGTTGGGGCTCTGGTGGCTTTTCAGTCGATGCCTTTGGATGGAGATCACCCTTGGTGCTGGATGGCTGGAGCTCAGCATGGCTTTGTCCCATCTGTTCAGGGGGGAATGTCTGCAGCCCTGTGGGGTTTTGCCATTTGTGGGGATGCTTTGCCATTGTGTTGTGGACCTGTGCAATGTCAAATCCATATTGCCTACAGCAGCATTTAATAGACTTCTGATGTCAATTTGAAGTCAATAACTCAAGATGTTAATTGCAGGATGTGTCTGGACTCTGGCTCACCTGCCATTATTTCTGTGTCAAATAACTCCTAATCTTTGGCACAATACATTTTTTTCTGTGGCCCCAGGAAGCAAAAACAGCATTGTGAAACATGCTGCTGTGGAACAGTGTTCGTTGGTCTGGAGAAGGAGCTCCAAAGTGCATCTTTCTCTCAGTGGGATGAACACCAGAGTTATTTGAACAATTGGGCAGTTGTATGGAATGACCTATTCTCTGGTTTTGTTTTTTAATGTACTCAGTGGCAATAGAAAGGAAGCGTTTCTTAAAAATTACGAGGAAACACATTTTAAATCCCTTTGCTCCTGGTAGCCTTCCTTGCAGGGGCAGCTGTAGAACTGGAGAACTCTCTGCTCTTGGCGTGCGCAGTCAGGACTGGGGGCAGCCATAAGGGAATGAGTCTGACACCCTGTTGGTGCAGTACTCTCCATGTACACCAACACAGCACATGCAAGATGTAAGCAGCATTTGCAGAAGGTCAGTGGGTGGTTGCAGCTGTGCCTGACACAGAGGGTGAGGAGCAGAACCCTGACCTTCAGTGCGGACGTTCATTCCTTGGCGATGTGCTGAATGTATGAATTGCTGTAGCTTTAGGGGAAATAAGAATTCCTGAGAGGTTGATCGCAGAGCTGAGGCCCTGCTCAGCCCAAGAGATGGCACTGTGCTTCCATTTCACAGTGTGACAAGCCAGACTTGGTGGCTATTGTGCCTCTCTCCAAAATGCTGCTTTTCCAAGGCTTCACATACAGTAAAGTCCATTATTGTAAAGGCCACATTGCTGCCAAAAAAAAGCCTTCAGCTAAAAAGTATATATCTATAAACTAATAACACATCATTCCAATGAAAAATAACACATGGGGAAGGAGTTTTTCTCAATTATTGATGGCCAGTGTTTGTTGTATTGTTGTGTGCTGAGTCTGAGGAGCCTCGATGGAGAGAGGCAGCCCTTGGGGTGAATGGCACTTCCATGGGTGTTTTATCAGTGCTACAAAGATGGGCCCTGGGGTAACGAGCCTTAATGGGGAGAAAGGGAAAATGAGGGCGATGGGAATGGGGGGAGTATCCCCATGAGGCCTTAATGCAAAGAGTGCAGAGGGTGGTTATCCAGCTCCCAGGCTGTGGGTCAGAACTGAGGATCAGAATGGGATTTAAGCATCAATCGCAGCGTGTTGCCACTGTCTGTGCTGGGCTGCTTGGGGGAGCTGGGCTGCGTAACCCCACTGCCAAGTGTCTGTGCAGGGGGAAGGCCCAGAAAGGAGGTGCCCACCGAAGGCCATTTGAAGCAGGAGGTATAAAATACTTGTTCTTGTGTGTTGGTGGGGGACTTGGGTGCAGCTGTGTGGGTGTTTTTGGAGAAGGCGCTGCTGTAGGTTTCCTCCAGGTATCTGGGTTGTGATGCTGCCCTGCCCTGGCAGCTGGCTGGGATAGGTGGCAGCAGGGTTCAGCTCAGTGACACATCTCTGTAAGTATCCGTGGCAGTGCCTAAAAAAGAACATTTGGCCACAAAATGGAAAATTGGCAGAGAGATGGAAACGTGGAGCTTATAGGAATGGAGACAGCAACAAGCTGGGGGATCTGAAGGCACTCCTGCTCCCTGCTGAATTCACTTAGCCAGATTGCTTAATTGGAGGTGATAATGCAGCATTTTTTGATCTGGCAACATCTATGCTGCAGTGTATGAAACCGGCTGAAAAGCTGAGGAGTAGCAGAGCAGCAGATGAAATACCCCAGCAAAGAGGGCAGGATGAGAACAAAGTTTATTTTATTGAGGAAACGCAAGAATAAAGGAGCACAACTTTTCAGAGCAACCTCATTAGAAACCCAGGCAAATTAGTGGCATTATGGTTTATTAAATATCATTCGGCCAAGGACAAAGAAACCTGGTAGCTGAAAGCAAAACCATAGTGACAAAAAAAAAAGCCACAAAGAGGAACTGTTTTCTCTCTTGAGCACTTCCCTTCCATGTAACTCCTGGTCTTAGCTCTTATAAAGACGAGGCCCATTATCTAAATGTGAATCCAGAATGGAACTGATTGGGTTTGGCACCTGAAGGGGAACATCTCAGCCAGTAATTGCGTGTGGTCGTACCCTCAGAAGAACGTGACTGGTGAAAGTGTGATCCCAAGGTCCACTGTGGGGACCAGGCTCATGTACCCTCATTTATTTTTTGTTTGAAAGCTACTTTGCAGCAGTGTGCGTGTGCATGAATACGTATTGATTTTATTAATGAAAATTAAGCACGGACAAATTTGCCTCTGTGGAAACCACAGGGCAGGGGGAAGGAAGGTTGGCCGTGCTTAGCTTTTACGTGGTTCCCTTCTTCAGGAGTCTCTGCATCCTTGATTGGGATGCAGGGCTGCCCACTGCCAGGCTCCTGTCTCCAGGCTGTGAGAAGGGTAAAACAGAAATAAAGATCTCCTGGCCAGTTGGCTGTTATGCAAACTCAGAGCCATTTGGCACCAACCTGAGCTCTGGGGACAGAGATAGTCCCACGATTAGGAAAGAGAGCAGAGATTGAGGCTGTGGGTGCAGAGGTTTCCTTAGAGTGAAACCAAAATTGCAAAGCTCTGTTGGGTGCGGAGCAGGAAACAAACCTGGTGTGAACTAAATGAAATGCTGTTGGCCTGTCCCCAAAGTAAGGGGAAAGTGCTTTAGGATTGCTGCACAGGGACATGAGGGATGGGGCCAAGGGTGATGGGAAGCAAAGCTATTGTGCCCCTCTGTCCTGACTCGATAAATGCTATTTGCACACCTATGGGGAAAGACCCCTTCAGGCTCTGAGCTGGGCACTGATCTGACACGAGGAACTTCAGGTGGCACAGATGTTTCCAGCTCTGAACGCTTTTTGAGTTGGGCTCCAGAGCTTCCCGGAGCTGTGATGAGTTCAGTACTGCTCGCAGCACAGAGAAAATCATTTCTGCAGATTTGATGATGTTTTTTTCAACCCCCCCCCCCCCCCATAGAACGTATTTTAAAGGGCTTTT